AAAATTCAAAAGCATAATATACAACTTAACATAAAATTATAATTGTATTTCTCATATATCCAATGGAATTTGTAATATCCATTTTTAAATAAACATCATTAATCTCACACGCAAGCAACATCTACGGTATCTATTTTACCCTCCAAACAGGTGGCACATTAAATGCACGTTTAATCATTCACCCATTCCAAAGTAGCAATCACCTACATATGCATTTTTGATCATATTATACTTTTCTTATATCTATGATATATTAATATTTATAGATTGAAAATGTATACCTACGCAACCCATACGACGTTAAACGTCGAGTCTTGTTCACACCTCCCCAGTCTCGCGAGAACTGTAGCGTCGCCCAGCCCTCGCTAACCAAATAACACAATGTACAAACATTCGCAAGTATCGCGAGCCAGCATGGCGGCTCGATTTCAAACATTTTGTAGTGACATCTAGGCTGCTTGGGTGATCCATCTCGGGCGTTCTGATTGACAATCTCGGGCCGCATGTGCGCCAAAATTTTGCGCAGGGCGGCTCGGCAGAGGGGTGTAGATATGAATTTCGCGCGCCAAACCAGGCGGAGTGGTGGCGGACCGTCCGTTGTGGTTTCGGACGGTCCGAAATGGCAGTTTCGGACGGAGGGAAAGGGAGAAAAGTGTCATATGGTTCGTTGTTTTTGGCGACGTCGCAAGGGGTCTTGACGAAACACCACACGAAAGTTCACGAATTGGGTAACATTTCGCCAATCCGGACGGTCCGCAATTCGGACCGTCCGGATGGAAAAATGGCAAAATGGTTACACGCTCTTACACTTCCTGTTCTGTCACTGTCAACGGCTTTCTTGGGGTCAACGCGCATGACCGTTCAAGAACGCACCATAACGAAATAAACCGTGATCAATGGACTTTGGCATGATTTCTAATTTCCAACAAATTCTTCAGACGATGCGCGACTCGCCTCATCACGCCACTGTCTGTCAGGTAAGGGAAGTTGGGGTGTGCGGCTGCCTTTCGCTGCGGGAGAAGATCAAACTGGGGCCGAACATTAGCAGGAAAGTGACCAAATTAGGGCCGGAGAAACCGAGCCTGGACTTTAAGAGCTAACATTCGATTTTTCCATACTCGCGATTCAATTTTACTTGTCAGAGGTTCCGACCACTCCGCGCGTCGTGACTGTTGGACTTGAATTTGGATGTCGTTATGTCGAAATGATTCAGTGTTTTCCACTCATCAGCACTACGAAGCACTAGACGACGCTACCAGAAATTGTTAGGGCAGGGAGGAGAAACCAATCCCCTAGAGAATCCGGACGCATTTTCGGGAGGGATCAACCATAACCACGGGAACCAAAGTAAAGTTTAGGGTTGATGCCTCCCCGAGTCGCATCCGTCTCTGACTTGGTTTTATTTTTTTTTGTCAGCTAATGTAATGTAAATTTTCCGAGAACCACGATGAAAACTACTTCCAAAGGAATGCGACGCGCGTTTCGTAATAGGCGGCGATCATAACCTATAGATAAAAACCTGATCCAATAAAGCCACAATGCTTGTAATTTCCTGTAAATCTAGGCTCGAAATCTCGGCCCTACCACTTGGGCAGCCTCGGAGGTGCATCCAACGGTTGGCATTAACCCGGACCTAATGTTCGGCCCCAGTTTGATCTTCTCCCTTTCGCTGCTATTCCCCGCCAAACCCAAACCAATTGACGGGGTTCGGGATTCGGGGGATTTGCGGGCCGCACCACTTTCTCTGCTGCCCTGGTCTGGGCTGTTCTCAGCTTGGCTTGGCAACGCCAGTGGTTTGGTATGGTTCAGCTTCGGGAAACACTGGGCCAGTGCTACTCCCCCACTGGTCAGGCCAGCTTCACGAATGTCCACAATGCTCCCAATATATTGCACTTGGTAGCGCCGGTAGCGGTCGGTAGCGGTTGGTAGCGGTTGGTAGCTTGCTGACTCGATTGCACTGCCAGCTTACGCTGGCAGTGCAATATTATATTCCAAGATTGCGTCACAAACAAGTGCCTTACAGCACCAACGCTCCACAGCTTCACCACAAAACTCCCGCAAAAGCTTCACAATGCCCCAGGAGTCCCCCCACTCGCGCCCGCTTGCTTCATGTAGCAGCAGCACCCATCTTCACGTGGCGCAATTTTGTTGCTTTTTAGAGACCACTCTTGCGGCTTGTCTTCTTTTACAGCTTTCCAAGTTCCAAACAATACCCTCGATAACTAAGCCGAGTCGCTAGTACAACCGAGGCAGCGACCACACGTATCACGATGGTTGGTGATAGAGACGTCTCAAAAACTAGTTTTTGAGAATTCTAGAAAAAAAAAACAGCTCGTGGTACAACTGAGGCAGCGTCCATGATGCTTGCCACACGTATCACAATGGTCGGTGATTCGGCATATCGTCACACAACTACAGCAAGGGCGTTACTACCTCAATTCGATCCTCTGAGGTACCTCAGACGTCCTCCACGGTGCTATCACTGGGTTTGCATAGAGCAAGTTTTTTCGACACGCTCTAGTTTCAGTAGAAGCAGTGTGGCTCAAGCTGCAGCCTCGGCAGGCTGTGTTCTCACGGCGAAAATCACAACCCCGACCAGTTACAAGTGCGACCCTCGATTTAAGCGACGTCCGTAAACAAATAGCACTCAGCGCGTCATCAGCTAGATGATGGCAACAATTCTGGTAGTGGCGATGGTGGCGATGATTGCGCTGGCGTCCAAACAACATCCGCGGCGGAGACTCCTTTTTCTCGTCTTTCCGACCTGCCACCGCAAATCACGCTCGACCCACGCCGCTCTCCACCGTGCCCAACCCCCGCGCCGCCTAACCCTGCCAGCCCTGCTCCCGCTTCTCCTGCTCCTCCTGTCCCACGTCGCGGCGTCGCCGTTGCTTCCCGCCGCCATCGCAGCAGCAGCAGACGGATCGAAGCGCACCAGCGCCGTGAAGGCTCGGAGGGAATCTCTCGATATAAGCACATTGTCCGGCGCGAGAACCGACTTCGGTATAGGAACAGAGCGGGGCGGTGCTCTATCCTCCCTTCCCGTTAAAAAGTCCAGGCGCACGATTAACCCGAGCGCAATGACGGCAGCGGCCGGCAGGCCGAATGCGTTTGTTGAGACATCTAAAAAATCGTCGTCTAGTGTTGACAAGTCCGGCCGCACGATGAAGCTGACGGCAGCGGCCGGCAAGGGGAGAAACTTTGGGAGCCGGAAAATCCGCCAAAACCAGCGCTGGCGTGGGGACTGGTGCAACGACAGGCGCGGGGAAGGGTGCGATGGCAGGCGCGGGGAAGGGTGCAATGGCGGGCGCGGGGATGGATGCGGGGGTAAAGGAACGGGATCAGGGAACGGGAACGTTGTGCCGGGGGAAGGAACGGGAAAGGGTGCGGGGAAAGGAACAGGGACGGGCGCAGGGAAAGGTACGGGAACAGGCGCGGGGAAAGGTACAGGAACGGGCGCGGGGAAAGGTACGGGGACGGGCGCGGGGAAAGGTACGGGGACAGGCGCGGGGAAAGGATCGGGAACGGGCGGGGGGAAAGGATCGGGAACGGGCGCGGGGAAAGGTACGGGAACGGGGGCGGGGAAAGGAACGGGGACGGGCGCGGGGAAAGGTACCGGAACGGGCGCGGGAAATGGTACGGGGACGGGTGCGGGGAAAGGAACGGGGACGGGCGCGGGGAAAGGAACGGGGACGGGCGCGGGCAAGGGAACGGGAACGGGCGCGGGGAAAGGAACGGGGGCGGGTGGGGGTAAAGGGACGGGAACGGGAGGCGGAACAGGGGCGGGAACGGGTGGGGGAAAAGGGACGGGGACGGGCGGAGGGAAAGGGACAGGAACGGGTGGGGGAACAGGGGCGGGAACGGGCGGGGGAAAAGGGACGGGGACGGGCGCGGGGAAAGGAACGGGGGCGGGTGGGGGTAAAGGGACGGGAAAGGGCGGGGGAACAGGGGCGGGAACGGGCGGGGGAAAAGGGACAGGGACGGGCGGGGGTAAAGGGACAGGAACGGGTGGGGGAACAGGGGCGGGAACGGGTGGGGGAACAGGGGCGGGAACGGGCGGGGGAAAAGGGACGGGGACGGGCGGAGGGAAAGGGACAGGAACGGGTGGGGGAACAGGGGCGGGAACGGGCGGGGGAAAAGGGACAGGGACGGGCGGGGGTAAAGGGACAGGAACGGGTGGGGGAACAGGGGCGGGAACGGGCGGGGGGAAAGGGACAGGGACGGGCGCGGGGAAAGGAACAGGAACGGGCGGGGGTAAAGGGACGGGAACGGGTGGGGGAACAGGGGCGGGAACGGGCGGGGGAAAAGGGACGGGGACAGGTGGGGGGAAAGGGACAGGAACGGGTGGGGGAACAGGGGCGGGGACGGGAGGGGGGGATGGAACGGGGACGGGTGGGGGAAAAGGAACGGGGACGGGTGGGGGTAAAGGGACGGGAACGGGTGGGGGAACAGGGGCGGGAACGGGCGGGGGAAAAGGGACGGGGACAGGTGGGGGGAAAGGGACAGGAACGGGTGGGGGAACAGGGGCGGGAACGGGCGGGGGAAATGGGACGGGGACAGGTGGGGGGAAAGGGACAGGAACGGGTGGGGGAACAGGGGCGGGGACGGGAGGGGGGGATGGAACGGGGACGGGTGGGGGAAAAGGAACGGGGACGGGTGGGGGAAAAGGGACGGGAACGGGTGGGGGAACAGGAGCGGGATCGGGTGGGGGGAAAGGAACGGGAACAGGTGGGGGGAAAGGAACGGGGACAGGTGGTGGGAAAGGAACGGGGACGGGTGGGGGAACAGGGACGGGATCGGGTGGGGGGAAAGGAACGGGAACGGGTGGGGGGAAAGGAACGGGGACAGGTGGGGGGAAAGGAACGGGGAGCGGCGCAGGCAAGGGGAGTGGGACTGGGGCAGGAAGCTCCAAGGGCCCCGGACCTGGTGCAGGCAATGGGACAGGCTCGGGGACAGGAGCTGGTCCTGGTTCGGGCGGAGGCTCGGAAACTGATTTTGGAATGGTGGTTGGTGGGCAAACGGGAAGCTCAGGTAAAGGAAACCAGACTGGGGGAGGAGGGGACGAGGTCAGTGGTGGGCTATCGAGTGGAGGGGGCGGAGGGAGTGGAGGGGGCGGAGGCGGGGCAGCAGGGTCTGGAGGCCAAGCGGCAGGCGGAGGAGTGGCTGGGTCTGGCCTGTCGCTGGAGCAGCAGGCTACGATTGCTGAAGTGAACAAGACTTTGGGTTTTCTGTATGAGCGGAAATTCACAGGAGCTGCAATGGGGATCAGCAGGAGTGGTGAGTTGCTTACATGCGTTGCATAATATATCCTTCTACTGTACTTGTCACGTACAATTTGACTCATCCTTTAAATCCATCGTCTCTCCTTTTAAAAGCTCCGGTATACATTTGTAAGGAGTGGTTCAAAATCCTTAGGAACTTGGAAACTTACCCCAAAATTGTGAGGCACATGATAAAACCCCGAACCTCCCTGACAAATGTAGTCTGGAGCTTTAATGACAAATCCTTCTGTTTGTTGCGTTTCTGTGCATTCTTGCACCCCGCAACCTGCCTAAAAAATTTCCAGGTTTGAACGAGACGCTGATGAATACACTGCTTACAAGCAACGTTACCATCTTTGCACCAACCAACGGGGCGTTCTTCCGCATGCCCAAGAATGTGCGCTTTGGAGGGCTGCAAAGGAAGAGGAGAGTTCTCTGGCAGGTGATGGCCTATCACGTGCTGCCACGTCGGATGGAATTGAACGACCTCAAGACCCTTATGAATGGATCCCTGGTAAGCCTGAGATTTGTATATCCTTGCTTCAATAATCCTGCGCATCGCCCCGCTTAGCTTAGATAAGACCATTCCCACTAAGCCCCTCTCTCACCTCTTCCCCCGTCCTGCATCTCTTTGCCTCTTCACTTGTTCACTCCTTCTCTCCCTCATATCCCCCATATACTCATTGCCACTTTTATTCCTTGCCCTACACCATCCACAACCGTATTTGCAGATGGAAACACTTGATATCTTTCCACTCAAGAAAACCCAAACAAACAACCAGTTGTGTATCGCCAGGGCTGAAGACTCCTGGGGCGCAAGAGTTCTCATCGGAAACATGTACTCGAGTCCATCAATTGTTGTCCATGCGGTGGATACTGTGCTGCTTCCAGCCAGGGTCAAGAACAGCGGCACCTGAACAATGCCGTGGTGAAGTTTTGGGGCGACTCAGAACATGTACTCGAGTGCGTCGTTTGTTGTCCATGCGGTGGATACCGTGCTGCTTCCAGCAAAGGTCAAGAACAGCGGCACCTGAACAATTGCGTGGTGAAGTCAATCCCGCCACTGCAGCGAGTAAAGGCTATTCTTGAGGCACCTAAAACAAGGTCAAGAGCAGGGGCACCTGGACAATTCCGTGGTGAAGACAATCCCGCAATTGCGCCAAAAGGCAATGGCAGTGTGGTGAAGGCTGTACATTAAAAAGTCTTTTGAGTTGACTCAAAAGGTGTTTCGTACATGACCCATTGCTGCCGTAATCCCCACCCGCTCTGGTCGTCTGGCTCGGTAAAGAAGGCCTGCTGTAGCAACTCAAACTCTTTTCTCCAGTGCCACGTGGCCCAGCCCTGATGCGACTGAGGTTGTTGGGCGCGTGTGGAGCCTTGGTAGCAGCTTCTGTGGGGCGGAGGAGGGAGGGCAGAGGGGACGGCAGGGAGAGGGAGGGCAGAGGGAAGGCAGAGGAGAAGAGAGCAGAAGAATAAGTGGTGAAGGGAGGGGTTGAGCGAGGAGTTGAAGAGCAGTCAGACCAGGTGCATCCACCCACTCTCGTCGTTGGGCTCAGTGAAGAAAGCATGGTGAACCAACTCATACCCACCTGCCAGTGCTGCATGCGGCAGACATTCTGCTTCTGACGCAGTGGCTCAAATGCCAATAATTGACTGTGGGTGCACTAGTGGGATATAATATGTATAGCACCCATGTATATAATGGGAGGGAGTGAACATTTTTGCTAATCATATTCGCTAGTGTAGCACACTGTATCATTTGTGCCACTTTCAGCCCCGAGCCTCATTTCCCTGCAGCCTCTATTACAGCGAATAGAACCAACCACCACCACCAATCCACCACCACCACCCACTCAAGCCTTGACCTTTCATTCTGAACCACGAATGCTGGTTACTGTACTTTGGTGTTTCCCGAACCAAACCAGGCTCCAAGAATGTTCCAATCGCCAGCTGCTTTCTGGGCCTTGGGTTTGCCCCAAGTTCGGAACCACAGATTCTCTGACTCGGCTTGGAGCTTGCCAAGCCAAGCCAAGCTCCCATGGCTACGGCGAACGAACGAGAAACCATGTCGAGCCGAACCCAGTAAGAATGACCAGAAATCCAAGCCAGAAATCCAGGCAAATTTGGCTCGTCACTTCAAGATCCCAAAAATCGCCAGGATTTGCTACTGTAATGAATGATAGCACGCGGCTATGTCCACTCCCAACCCAACCAGTCAGCTCCCCCGTGCCGTCCCTTGTGGTTCTTGTACTAGGACGAAGTTGTGAACACTGGAGATGGAAGGACGAGATTTGAAGCAACTGCAACGGCGAACAACAAGCCGTCCCACCCACAGGCTGTGCAGATGCGGGCTCGAAAGGCGTCCCTACCGAGCCTGCCGCCTTTTCTGCGAGATGCCATGGATACTGGTTCGGCATTCCGCGGCACTAAGAATCAAGCCTTCCGAGGGCCTGCTGGCACAGCTTGCTCACCCTCAAATGAACTAAACTCAGGAATTCTTCAACCATGTGGAATCATTCAGGGGGGTTGTTTCCAGTCCCTTTTCACCAGTTAGGGACCAAAACGAACGGCTTGAGGACTTCGATTTTGGTGGCTACGCCATATTCAAACGTTTCGGAATGGCTACCGTGTCGCACATCGTGTCCTCTATTCCGGGAGTAACACAGAAAACAGTATCACCATCTCCGAGCAGGAACATGCGTTATCAGCTGATTCGTTTCCAGACACGAGCCTCACATCATGCTGTGTGTCATGCGTCTGGCTGCATCAATAAAAGCAGCAGCACCTGTACCAGCAGCCTCCTTAAAAAGAGCTCTTTTGCGATGAGGCCTTCTGGAATTCGCAATGTCAACCGTACACGCCGTTGGAGGGGTGTTGCTGCGTCTGCGTCTGCTCCTGCTGCAGCTGCCAGCATCTCGCGGTCAGGAGGACCAGCCGTGTCGGAGGCAGTCATTGCGGGTGGAGGGTTGGCCGGCCTCGCATTGGCTATCGGCCTCCGGAACATTGGGATTGACGCGCAGGTGGGATGCTATTTGAAAGCAGGCATGGTTCTGGAATCAGGTATGGTAATGATGCTGGAATCAGGGAAAAGTGTTGAAATCCGATAGAAGACCTGGATTTTTGTAAATAGTTAGACATTATGATGCATTGTTACGTAACCGTATTAGTCCTGTCTTTCTATGCTTGATCCTTCAGTGATCTATTTGCATTGTATGCCTGTTGCACTATGAGGTTCATGCTTCAAATGCTGACTGGTTCGTTATTCCATGTCACCAATGCATGTAACATGTTATCGTGCTTCTGGTCGTGCGCTGTGACTGCCAGTAGGAAACTTCGTACGCCTTCTCCTCTCCTCTGGATGTATGTCATTGTTGGCATCCCAGGCTCTACAAGCTACCATCCATGCGACAACATAATAAATTGTTTTTGACCCGCCATGCCATGCCTTTCTGTGCGATGCTCAATGCCGTGCCATGCCATGCCTGATGCCACATCCCCACATGCAATGCCTCACGCCCATCCCCACATGCAGGTGTAAGGGGCACGGGGCGAGATGCTAGGCGAGAGAACCCTCCTCACCCTCCACCCCAACGAGCTCTGGAGCAAGTTTCAAAGCATGTCCTGAACTTGCTTCATCTCAAATCCTGCTCACAGGTGTATGAGGCCCGCAGCGAGGTGGGAGGAGGCGAGGGAACCCTCATCACCCTCTATCCCAACGGGCTCAGGGCACTCAACCGAATCGACCCTGCCATTGTGCCCCAGGCATGTGCCAGTTATGCGTGCATGTGATGGTAATGCGTGCATATGATGGTAATGCGTGCATGTGATGGTAATGCGTGCATGTGATGGTGATGCGTGGATGTGACGGTGATGCCTGCATGTGACGGTGATGCATGGATGTGACGGTGATGCATGCATGCGACGGTGATGTCTGCATGTGACGGTGACTCATGCACGTGACAGTGATGCATGCATGTGACGGTGAGGTCTGCATGTGACCGTGACGCATGCACGTGACGGTGATGCATGCATGTGACGGTGATGCATGAATGTGACGGCGATGCATCCATGTGACGGTGATGCATGCATGTGACGGTGATGCATGCATGTGACGGTGATGCATGCATGTGACGGTGATGCATGCATGTGACGGTGATGCATGCATGTGACGGTGATGCCTGGATGGCTCAGGCCGCTAAACAGACCCGACCTCGTGATTGTGCCCCGGACATGTGCGAGCAATGCCAGAGCCGGCAATAGTTGTGCAAGGGGTCAGGTTAAATTGATCCTTGCATTCGGCAAAACTATGTGGTTCAAGCAGCAACCGATGCTGTGTATGCGCCCTCTCTTCCACTTCCTCTTCCTCTTCTCTCGCTTTCTTCTCCAGTTGATTTCCCCCTTAAGTTCTGGCCTCTACTCAACTTCACTCAAATCATGCTCGGAATGCTCTGCACATTTCTATTTCACCATATTCTCCTGTCCTGTTTTCCCCGAGTCCTCGTTTTCCCTGAGTCCTCATTTTCACCTGCTTCCTCGTTTTGTGCTATTTCCCCTCCTCTCCCTCAGCTGATATCCCGTGGAGTGCCAAACTCTACCAGTCTCAACCGCTCTCCATCCGGCGATTTCCTTTTCCAGTGGGACGTTGCGTCCAACATGACGGCCTGCTTTGGTATCCCCCTGCTCACTATCTGTTGTTGCTTGCCTCCTTTCCCTCCATTGTTCCATTCCCTTTCATCGCCTGTTTCCCTCAGCTGATATCCCGTGGAGTACCAAACCCCACCGTTCTCAGCCGCTCTTTAACCGGCGAACTTCTTTTTCAGTGGGACCTTTCGTCCAATATGACCCCCCGCTTCGGCTTTCCCATGCTCTGCATCCGCTGGCAAGAGGTGCTTGACGTGCTGCGGGGAATGCTGCCAAACGATGCCATCCACACCGGTCACAAGCTCGTGGGGTTTACGCGGAGAGAGAAGGAGGCAGAGGGGGGACGGGGTGGCGAGGGGAGTGACGCAGGCATGGGGAGTGGCTCGGTGAAATGCATTTTTGAGACGGTTTTCGGCGGTGAAGAGCGGTTGCTGGAGGTTGAGGTGAGTGGGGGAGAGGTGGAGAAAGGAGGAGGGTGGGGGATGGTTTTGTGTTAAGGGTGAGACGTGGGGAGGTAGTGAGGGAAGGGAGGGAAGGCCGAGTTGAGGGCATGTCGTTGCCAAAGGGTGGGTGGGGTGATGACTAGGGATGATGACAAGAGGTGATCACATGGGTTGATGACAAGGGGTCATGACATGGGATGACATGGGGTGATGACATGAGAACCGGTTCTCTTGATCATGTGCCCTCTTCCTTTTCTTCTCTCCCAAATTTTGCATTCACTCTATGCCGCCTCGTACCTCTTTCCACCACTCTTCACCACCCCCATTCTTACCCCCCATCCGCCAGACCCCTGTGCTGCTGGGAGCGGACGGCATTCACTCAGAGACACGAAAACACCTGCTGGAGGGGGAAGAGGGGCGGAGTGGGAGCAGTGGGGCAGCAGGCGGGGGAGTGAGTCCACGGGACAACGGCAGAACCATCTGGAGGGCCATCATTGACAGTTCCCTCTGCCCGCACCCCGTATGTGTCCCTCTGCCCACACCCGATACGTGCCCCCTGCTCCCAACTGGTGAATGTCTCACATGCCCAGCTATGTGTCCCTTTGTTCCCACCCCGTGTGTGCCTCCTCTTGGTCTGCTAAGCCACACATTGTTCACAAACTATGCTCGGTACGACTCTGTTTGCTGCGGGCTCGCAGAAGCGACTTACACAGTATGGTAAGTGTCTATTGCTCTCTGTCTACCTGCTGAGGGCTCTCAAGGTGACTTTTCACTCGGCTCAAAAGTCAAGTTTTCTCTGTCTGTTTGCTGAAGGGGCTTAATTACACACACGAGCAATATTCGGTCTCCCTTCTTCCGTCCGGCCTGTCCCTCCTGCAGCTGCTGCAGCCACGGCACGCACTCTCTTTTATCGGCCTCAACCGCACTGCAACCGTCGTCGACACTGGAGGAGGATGTCAGAATCACTAGGCAAGAATGAATGAACTAGCAGAAGTTTGGGTACAAATATGAAACCCTAGTTGGGGTTGTACCCCATATTGGCTACCCCACTACAGCCTACAAGCATAATACAGTTTAACACACCCCCATAGGCAAAGTGGGGGAGAACAAAAGGTCACAAGACCAGTCCAGCAAAGCAAAGCAAAGCCCAGGGTGGATCACAACGTCACCACACTCCGAGCACAAGTAAAGGCCACAAGGCCAGTTCACATGCAGTGCTAGATATAGTACAAGACAAGCAACACAGTGATCAAAACCTAGCAGGCAAGCAACAAGATATATATAAAGTACAGTACAAAGAATGTCAAGCAGTGAGCAAGTGAGGAAACGTGGACACAAGGCCTAAAGAAGTACAGTGCCGCTGATGATCACTAGGCGGGAGCGCCTTGGTGAAGATATCAGCAGTGTTGGCCTTCGAGTCCACGTACACAAGCCGAAGCTGACCGCGCTGCTGAAGCTCTCGAGCAAGAAAGTAGCGAAGAGCAATGTGCTTCGTCCTGTGCTCCAGTCTGTGCTCCTGACACAAGGCAAGAGCCGCCTTGTTGTCACCGTACAGAACTGGAGGAGAACTAGGCCGCTCTCCCAAGTCAGTCAGCAGGTAGGTGAGCCAGCGTAACTCCTGTGCAGCCATGGCTGTGGCATAGATCTCAGCCTCACAACTAGAGCCGAGAACAGAGGAAGAGCGGGTGGACCGCCACGAGACAGAACCTGAGCCAAGGCTGAAGGTGTAACCCTGTGACGACCGCTGCGTAGCCAGGTCGTCCACCCAAGAGGCGTCCGAGTGACCAGTGAGGACAACTCTGTCGCGTCCTCCAAGCACCAGCCCCATGCCTGATGTACTGCACAGGTAACGCAGCACCCTCTTAGCAGCCTCCCAGTGCTCTCGCCTGTGTCTCCCAGGCGCAACGTAACGAGCAAGGATGCTAAGAGGGTACGCGAGGTCAGGTCGCGTGCAAGTCATCAGGTACATGAGGCAGCCTACAAGCTCTGGGTACGGGCCACTCGGCTCTACGGACTCGTCCGAAGGTGGAGCTGAGAGCGAGTGGCTGGTAGCCAGAGGTGTGGCCTGTGGTGAGGAGAACTGGAAGCCGAAGCGCTGAAGGACCTGCTGCACCATGTGTGACTGAGTCAGGGTGATGGTGCGGCGAGCTCTGTCCCGGGTGATCTGCAAGCCAAGGTAGCTACGCAGTTCACCCAGGTCAGTGCAGGTGTGTCTCTTCTGCAGCTCCGACTTCACACGAGCGAGTGCCTCAGTGTCAGCAGTAGCAAAGACCAAGTCGTCGACGTACACGAGAATGTAGAACGGCGGCAGCGACGTGTCTGTGCGCAGAAACAGCGACGGGTCAGCAGTAGACGGCGCGAACCCAAGAGCCGCAAGAGTAGTCCTCAGTGTGTCGTGCCACTCACGTGGCGCCTGGCGGAGACCGTAGACTGGCCGGCGGAGACTCCACTGGGTACCAGGGGGAAACGACCCAGTAAAGCCAGGTGGGCGGCGCAGCCAGATCTCCTCGTGCAGGCTGCCCTGCAGGAACGCTGTGCTGAAGTCAAGAGAGTGAAGCTCGTAGTCACGCTGAGCAGCAACGTGCAGCAGAACCCGAAGAGTGGTCATCTTCGGGGTGGGGGAGAAGGTCTGGAAGAAGTCGACCCCCTGACGCTGACTGAAGCCTCTAGCAACGTAACGAGCCTTGAAGACAGGCGGAGAACCTGGCGGCCGCTTCACCCTGAAAATCCACATGCCATCGACGATGTTCGCCCCAGGAGGGGGAACCTCGTCGACGTAGGTGCCTGTGGACTTCCAGGATGCCATCTCTGCGTCCATGGCTGTCTGCCACTGAGAGGAGTAGGGACCCGAGATCGCCTCTGCGTAAGTGCGCGGAGTGGGGATGTCTAGTGCATCCGGGTCTCCCTCAGGGGCAAGCAACGAGGCCACGAGATGAGGTACAGCAGCCGCAAGAGAGTCAAAGTCCTCCTGCCTGTCCTCAAGGACGTCCGTGCCAAGAGCACACTCACCCCCGACGGACGGAGGACAGACAGACGCAGACTCTGACTCAGCAACAAGGCTAGCAGCGTAGTCTAGACGACAGGCAGCAGCAAAGTCAACCAACTCAGCGACCAGAGCAGACGCAGCCGAGGACTCAAAGGTAGGGTCAGTGACAACAGTAGCGAGGAGACGCGTGACTGTAGGGTGCTCAGCGCGATACCGGTCAGACTCAGGGTCCGGAACGGCAGGCAAAGAGGACGCAGGAGGAGACGGTAGAGGGACACGCCGAGGAGCAGTAGAGGGACGTAGAGTCATGTAGTGAGTGCCTGGGACAGGAGGAGGACGCTCACGACGGACACGACTACCAGTGCGAGCAGGACGAACAGGCGACGCAGGACGAGACTCAGGCTCACGACGCTCTGTAAGACCTCCTGTGGGACCAGTATAAGGAGAGGGAGCAGGGAGAAGCGAGGCAGGCGGTAACTGTGACTGCGGCTGGACAGGCGGAGGACACTCTACGGAGGGAGGAGGACAAGGAGGAGGAGCCTGCCCAAGAACCTGCTGAAGGAGCGGTACGAAGTACGGTCGCGGCCGCGCAGCGTCTCCAGAAGCAGAAGGGACTCCAGCGGCCGGGTCCTCAGCACCAGTAGGAGCTCCAGCGTCCGGGTCCACAGCACCAGCAGCAGCTCCACCGGCCGGGTCCCCAGCTCCAGCAGCAGCTCCACCGTCCGACTCCTCAGCACCAGCAGCAGCTCCACCAGGTGGGTCCGCAGCACCAGCAGCAGCGCCACCCCCAGAGTCGGCAGCTCCAACTCCGCTAGCACCGCCAGCGCCAGAGTCCCCAGCTCCAGCAGCTCCAGTCGCAGTGCTCCCAGAACAGCCAGTCCCGGCAGCTCCAGTACCCCCAGTACGAGCACCCCCAGGACGAGCAGCTCCAGCACCCCAAACTCCAGCCGAGCCACTAGGACGGCGAAAGCGTCGGACGTACCAGTCACGAAGCTGCTGCGGTGTGAGAGACTGCTCAGCACCCCGAACCGGAGCACCCCCAGACACAGTAACCCGAGGCTCCGTAGGCTCAGTAGCAGCACCCCCAGGCTCAGTACCCGCAGGCTCAGTACCCGCAGGCTCAGCACCCCCAGTCGCAGCACCCCCAGGCTCAGCACCCCCAGGCCTCGCACCCGCAGGCTCAGCACCCCTAGGCGCAGCACCCCCAGGCTCCGTACTCTCAGGCACCGTACCCTCAGCTCCAGCACCCTCAGTCCCAGCACCTGCAGCCCCAGCACCCCCAGGCCCAGCACCCCCAGGCTCAGCACCCCCAGGCTCAGCACTCCCAGCAGCACCACCCGCAGCAGCACCTGAGTCACCTGTGACCTCGACAGGCTCAGCGACGGGAGGAGGGTCTACCTGAGAGACACCTGAAGGAGCAGGACCCTGAGGGGGAAGGGGGTCTACCGGAGGGGGACCAGGAGCAAGGAAAAGTGGCGGGGGAGGGAGGGGGGCAGTGCGGTAGGGGAAGAGACGGTAAAAGGGGACCGACTCGTCAAAGGTGACATCCTGAGAGGCGAAGACCCGGCGCGAGGTGGGGTGGTAAAACTGCCAGCCAGGCGCGTCAGGGACAAAGCCAAGGAAGACACAGGGAAGCGTGCGGGAGGAGAGCTTGTCCGCGGACGTATCGCGGACAAGGGCACGAGCACCCCACACCCGGAAGCGCGACGCATCGCCAACCTCCCCCGTCCAACGCAGTGTGGGCGAGGTCTCCGGCAAGGAGACACGGGGCCAGAGGTTGAGCTGATGTGCGGCGTACCGGACAGCAAACGGCCACAGAAAATGGGGAGCCGCCGCGTGGACCAAGGAGGTACGAGCGACCTCCATGACCAGGCCAATGCGACGCTCAGCAACCCCATTCTGCTGTGGGGAGTCCGGAAGCGTGAAGGTCTGCTCGATGCCCTCCGCCTGACAGAAGGTCCTCAAGAGGTCGGAGGAAAACTCACCACCTCTGTCAGAGTGCAGACGCAGGACAGGAAGATCCGTCCGGAAACGGCGGCGGAGCTGGAGACGAACCGTGCGGATCCAAGGGATCAGAACAGCAGGGACCTCACCCTTGGTGCGCAAGGGGAAGACCGTGGTGTAACGTGAGTAGTCGTCGACAACCAGCAAAAAGTACCGCTCACCGCCCTGACCACGAACGCGGGCTGGGCCCCACACGTCCAGGTGGAGGGTCTCCAGAGGAGCCTCTGTCGGGGGGAACGAGGAGGAGTGAGGAGCGGCGCGCTGCCGCCCCTCGACGCAAGGAAGGCAGGGCGGCGCAGGCGAGGCAGGGAGGGGAGGGAGGGACCTGGGAAGACCGGACACAAGGAGGCGACGGTGCATGCCACGAAGGCGTGGCAAGGAGGGGTGACCCAGGCGGTGGTGCCAGAGAAGAGTCTGGTGCGACAGGGAACGACACTCACAGGCGTGGGCCACCAGACCTGACGCAGACACCTGACCGACAGCAGCTACCTGGGGAGACGCAGTGGTCAGTGTGTAGAGACTCGACCCCGGCCGACGGGTGAACGTAGCCAGGTGACGGCCGGTCCTGGAGCACGTGCAGATCGCCACACGCTGTCCGCCAGGGGTAAAGGTGTCAACCCACTGATCCTGGAGGACAGCGTTGCTCACCAGGTTCGTCGAGAACGAGGGGAGGTGGAAACCCGACAACGAGCCAGACGGAACCGCCGGACAAGGGAGGACAGTGGTGGACTGGGCAAGGACTGGGCCCCCAGAGGGGTCAGCCAAGGAGACTGGGACCGGTGCAGGAAGCGGTGTGAGCTCAGTACTGTCACGAAAGAAGCAACGGGAAGCACCTGAGTCAAGGGTGAAGGTGTGACAGGCCTCAGCCGGTGCGGTACCTGAGAGAGCAGTCTCTGTGGGTGCTGTACCTGAGAGAGCAGACTCGAAACCAGTCGGGACAGCACTGGAGGGAGCAAGTACAGGGGGCACCATACCAGAGAGAGCAGACTCACTAGTACCCAGGGCAGCGGGCTCTATACCTGGGTCAGGCGGCACACACAAGTAACAGTCTCCCTCGGCACTAACAGTCAATGCATACATGGCAGCAATAATAGCATCATAGTCAAGAGCAAAGACATCATTACCAGCCCTCATGAGCTCAGCCCAGCGGGGGCGCTCAACATCCGCACCCATCTCCTCACGCCAAGCGTCGTCAAGGCGGGAGAAGCAGCGGTACGGGGTGTGGAACCTCCCACACGTCTGTCCCTTGCGGTCACCTGTGCGAATGACATAAGAACAGCGGGCACTGGCCCCCGACGTCCCACGCTGAGCAAGCCACTCACGAAGCTGCTGGGTCGTCTGGGGACGCTGCTGCTGCTGGGAGCTCTGGCCAGAGCCAGTGCCTCCACTCCGACCTCCGCCGCCACCACTACCACCGCTCCGACCGCCACCGCCACCACCGCCACCACCGCCACCGCCGCCACCGCCGCCGCCGCCACTACTGCCACTGCTCCCTCCGCCGCCCCCGTCTCCACCACCGACCCCACTCCCACCAGCGCTCCCGCCACCGCTCCCTCCAGCACCGCCTCCCCCCCCACCTCCCCCACCTCCTCCCCCCCCAGCGCCACCACCACCACCCTTGCCCCCCTTGCCCTTGCCGGTGCGGCGCCTCCCACCAGGAGTAGAAGCAGCGCCAACAGACTCAGCACCAAGGAAGTCAACAGCAGCAGCAGCAGCGTAGGAGGGAGCGAGGGGAGAGGGAGAACACCCCTCAAAGATGGGGGTGCGAGGAGCGCCACGAGCAGCACCGACAGCTACAATGCTCTTTTCGGCCGCGAGCAGGTGCTCCTCTAGGAGGGCGACTGTGAGCTCAGTGGGACAGCGAGCAAGGAAGTGGTCTCGAACTGAGCGGAGGGTGTCAGGGAGACGGGTGACTATGAAGTGGAGTGTCCAGTACAGTGGAGGGGGGTTCTTAGCGCAGAACTCGGTGGGAAGGGCGGCACGCAGGCGAGCATCACTAGTGCGAAGGTGGGTGATAAGATCGGCGACTGTAGTAAAGGTGGACAGATCGGGGAACAGGTACGGCAGCATGAGGCGGCTAAGCTCGGCTGTGGCAGGCGAGGAGTAGCGAGCGACGACAGCGTCGTACAGGGCCTTAGCGGATTTGCAGTCGCCAAAATGCTCTAGCTCAGCTAACGGCAGGTGACTGCGAATGGCTAGGCGAGCAGCTGCGTCACGAGTCTGCCAGTGGGAACGAACACTAAGCTCAGCTGTGGCAGGAGGGGCAGGCGCAGCACCAGACGCGTAGTCATAGAGCGACACATGCTCCTTGCTATCGCTCAGGAGAAACAGCTGCAGGTCATCTAGCCAAGCGGTGAAACGCACAGGGCGGCCCTCAGCATCGAACGACAGCACGCGAATGGAAGCCATAGCGACAGTGTGACAGAGTAACGCAAGCTGCCGCAGCAGGGGAAGACGACTGTGCACGGATAGAGAGCAGCGGGCGAGGCTGGCGCTACGGGCAGGCGGCGCTGCAAGCGGTCAGTGCGACGGGAGGGCGACGCTGCGAGCGGGCAGCGCGGCGGACGGGCCGGGAAGCGGGCAGCGCGGCGGGCAGGCGGCGCTGCAAGCGGGCAGCACGGTGGGCGGGCGACGCTGCGAGGCGGGCGGGCCGCAAAGCGGGCAGCGGGCGGGCGGGCGGGCTGCGAAGCGGGCAGCGGGGCGAGCGGGCTGCGATGCGAGCGGGCCGCGAAGTGGGCAGCGAGCGGGCGGGCGGGCTGCGAAGTGGCGGGCCGCGAAGCGGGCAGCGAGCGGGCGGGCGGGCTGCGTAGCGAGCGGGCCGCGAAGCGGGCAGCGAGCGGGCGGGCGGGCTGCGAGCGGGCGGCTCGGCGAGGGGCGCGCGAGGGCGCTAGTGAGGGGCGCGCGAGGGCGCTAGTGAGGGGCGCGCGAGGGCGCTAGCAAGGGGCGCGCGAGGGCGCTAGCAAAGGGGCGCGCGAGGGCGCTAACGAAGGGGCGCGCGAGGGCGCTGACGTGGGTGCGCGCGAGGGCGCTAACGAGGGTGCGCGCGAGGGCGCTAACGAGGGCGCACGAGGGCGCTACGAGGCTAGGGAACGGGGTAGCGTGGTAACCGCATGCGAGCGGTGGTGGGCCCTAAAAAAAAAACGATCGGTAGGTCCTAGGGACCTCCTGCTCTGAATACCATGTCAGAATCACTAGGCAAGAATGAATGAACTAGCAGAAGTTTGGGTACAAATATGAAACCCTAGTTGGGGTTGTACCCCATATTGGCTACCCCACTACAGCCTACAAGCATAATACAGTTTAACAGAGGAAAGCTCTACTGGGTGTTGACGCTCGTTGATTCCGCCGATCCGACGGTCAGCAGCGCGCGGTCCAGCGGGGGGGAGGAGGCACGGGAGAAGATCCTACGGGCATTCGAGGGTTGGGATGTGATGACTCAGCTGGTGAAGGCCACTCCCCCCGACCTCATTCTCGAACGCCGCTTGCTCGACATGTCGCCCCTGCCCTTCTGGGTCCACGGCAGGACGGCTCTCCTGGGAGGTATGACTTTTTAGGGAGGTACTGCTCTACTGGGAGTTATGCCTGAGGTGATGGGGTGTGGGATATAGGTGGAAATAGTTTTTTCTTCCTTTTTATTTATGAGTGTGTCATGCTGGGAGGTACAGCCGGGGTGATCGCGAGCAGGATTTTACGTACATCACTTTAGATTATGAAGGTCATAGCAAGGAAATATCGTTGCATCAGCCATGGATAATCGCAAATGGAATGCCCATATGAAGAACGCACTCACAAGCAGCACAATGTGTAGCAATCCTGCCAAGTCTATCCGGCAAAAGCCTATCCACTCTTGCCTCTAAAGAAGTTGTGTGGTGCCCCAGTCTGCTACCGTGCATGGTCGTTTGGTATGCCCTTGTTTGTGACAGACTTGGATTACTGTTTGAACATCTCTTGAAGTATGATCAGCAATATGGCAGTGGGCCAATCTTCCTGTGCTCGTGCTTCACTCCCCATATCCCCCCCACCTTCGCTGGATTACCTTCTGCCTGTCCAGATGCGGCGCATGCAGTGACGCCTGGGCAGGGGGCCAATCTGGCGTTTGAGGATGTGGCTCAGTTGGTGGAGTGCCTCCGGGCGCACTCGCATGTCAGGTGGGCTGTCAGGTGGGCTGTCTGGTGGGTTGTCAGGTGGGTGTTGTCACATGCCGGGTGGGTATAATGGCATGCTGTTATTTTTGCGGAGGTGCTTGTTTTCTATTGTTCCATTTCACCGTGCCGCATTCGCATGGTTTTGCACCCACCCACCCTCCCTCTCGTCCTCTCGTCGTCTTGCCGTCCCACTTCCCCTTTGTTGCCTCAAAAACTGTAATCCATCCTCCACCCACCCTTACTGCTGCCTCGCCGTTCCTCCTTTAACCCTCGTGTCATCCCAAAACGGCATTTGACAGTGAGACAGTTCAAAGCAACATCTTCTCTCCCTCTCCTTCCCATCCCTTCCAGGGATGCAAGAGCATGCCACAAGTGTGTCTTTGAAACGCCTAAATATACAACCACCACCCCCACCCACCCCCCCTCCATCCCCCTTCTGCATCCCATCCCTTCCAGTGATGCTCTTCGCTCCTTCCAATCCCTCCGTATGCCACGTGTGCAAGCGGTGGCAGCACGATACGCCGCTGCTTCAAGGAAGCTGTATGACGAGAAAAAAGGGAAGAACGCAGCAGGGAATGAGGGAGGATCAGGCGGTGAAGAAAGTGAGGTGGATCCAGCGCCGAAGTTTGAAGAGGTTCAAGCGGCAATGGCTGCAGTGGCGGCACGAGAGGGGCGTGATCCTGACGAGGATCTGTATGGTTATGACATTGCTGTTTGGGAGGAGGATCATCGTATTGCGAGTGCTCCGCACTAAAGTGTCCTTGTTAAAGAAAGTGTGATTACAAGGGGGCGTGATCATAATGAGGACCTGTATGGTTATGAAATTTTGGTTCTGGAAGAGGATCCTCAAGTTGCGAGTGCCGTGCTATGATTTGGTATGCATTCACAAATTTGCAATGCACTTGATTGCGTATCATGTGGTGCTGACAGGGTGCTCTATGCTTGCCACGCGAGTCTGTTGTGTTGCTGCAGTGAGGCAATAGATGTTGCCTCATCATTCTCGTAGTTTTTTCGCTCGCCATTTTTATCAGTGTAATTTACTCTGTTTCTCTGAAAATCAGAGTGGTTTTTAGGGGGTCACTCTGTACCTGCTGGGTAATTTTTTCAAGAGTTACTTGTTCTCTGACCTGTCTGGGTTTTTGTGTAAGTTCACTCTGGAGCGCCAGTGTTTCTTTCCCCGATAGTGAGATTACTCTGTACGGGGGATACATGTACCCGTAATCCCCCGGATACACGACCCCGGGTGTTGTGTTAGTACGCCCTGAAAATGAGGGGGTGGGTGCACTATTGCGGGATGAGCGTATTGCACCCGGGTCTGTAATTTTGCGTCAGATGTTATAAACGCTTAGCAATGTGCAGTGTTGTTTCCGCTATCCAATGGTTCTAATTTGGTTGTGTTTACGTGGGTTGGCTCGATCGACCCGGGTTCAAGAACGTGGGTGAATATAAAAACTGTGATTGGTCAGAATGTGCAAGGTCAAGCGCGTCAAGAGATGCACGTTGGCGAGCTAAGACAGAACGTGACGAGAACATGCACCCAAACACAGGCGCATGTGGTCAAACGCGCCCAATTGTCACACATTGGGGAGCCGCTTTGTACAGAGCCACACGAGCCACACGAATGTACAGAGCCACACGAATGTAACTGTTCATACAGTAACTCGTGAATGGTAGCTCCTGTGTTCGAGTAACTAACAAACAGTTTTAAGCTACACTCACTAGGGTCACAAAGGGGGGGGGGGGGGTGTCAGAATGAGAAGTGTGTGCACTATGAGAAGATGGGAGTACAAATACAAAACCCTAGAATTGTGTACCCCCTAAAGGCTAACCCACTGTAGCCTACACAGCAACAACACAAGTATAATGTTTGACACACCCCCATAGGCAAAGTGGGGGAGAGCAAGGGGTCACAAGACCAGTCAAGAAAGGCAAGCAAGCCCAGGGTGGATCACAACGTCACCACACACTCTGAGCACAAGCAAAGAGCCACAAGGCCAGTTCACATGCAGAGGCATATATGTAACACAAGCATCACAGTGATCTATATCTAGCAAGCATGCAGGTATATATATATATATATATATATAGATCACAGTACAAACAAAGTCTACAGCAAGTGAGGAAAAGTGGGCACAAGCCCCAACAAAGTGCAGAAGCGCTGATGATCACTAGGCGGGAGTGCCTTGGTGAATATATCAGCAGTGTTGGCCTGAGTGGCCACGTAACGCAGACGAAGCTGACCACGCTGCTGCAACTCTCGAGCCAGAAAGTACCGCAGAGCGATGTGCTTCGTTCTGTGCTCCAGTCTGTGCTCCTCACACAAGGCAATGGCAGCCTTGTTGTCAACGTACAGCACTGGAGGAGAACGAGGCCGCTCTCCCAGGTCGGTCAGCAGGTAGGTGAGCCAGCGTAACTCCTGAGCAGCCATGGCTGTGGCGTAGATCTCAGCCTCACAACTGGAGCTGAGAACTGAAGACGAACGTGTAGAACGCCAAGAAACTGAGCCAGAGCCAAGGCTGAAGGTGTAACCCTGGGACGACCGCTGAGTAGCCTGGTCGTCAACCCAAGAAGCGTCTGAGTGCCCAGTGAGAACAACTGGGCTCCCTCCTCCAAGCACGAGCCCCATGCCCGATGTACTGCACAAGTAGCGCAATACCCTCTTCGCAGCATCCCAGTGCACCTTTCGATGCCTACCAGGAGCCACGTAGCGGGCCAGAAGGCCAAGAGGGTACGCTAAGTCAGGACGAGTGCAAGTCATCAGGTACATGAGGCAGCCAACTAACTCTGGGTAAGGACCACTCGGCTCTACAGACTCATCCGAAGGCAGAGCTGAGAGCGAGTGACCTATGGCCAGAGGAGTGGCCTGTGCTGAGGACCAGGTGAAGCCGAAGCGCTGAAGGACCTGCTGCACCATGTGTGACTGAGTCAGTGTGATGGTGCGGCGTGCTCTGTCCCGGGTGATCTGCAAGCCAAGGTAGCTGCGCAGTTCACCCAGGTCTGTGCACGTGTGTCTCTTCTGCAGTTCGGACTTCACGTGGGCGAGAGCCTCAGTGTCAGCAGTGGCAAAGACCAAGTCGTCGACGTACACGAGGATGTAGAACGGCGGCAGCGAAGTGTCGGTGCGCAGAAACAGCGACGGGTCAGCAGTAGAAGGCGCGAACCCAAGAGCCGCAAGTGTAGTCCTCAGTGTGTCGTGCCACTCGCGTGGCGCCTGGCGGAGACCGTAGACCGGCCGCCAGAGGCTCCACTGGGTACCAGGAGGAAACGACCCAGTGAAGCCAGGAGGGCGGCGTAGCCAGATCTCCTCGTGCAGACTGCCCTGCAAGAAGGCTGTGCTGAAGTCAAGAGAGTGAAGCTCGTAGTCACGGTGAGCGGCAACGTGCAGCAGCACCCGAAGAGTGGTCATCTTCGGGGTGGGGGAGAAGGTCTGGAAGAAGTCGACTCCCTCTCGCTGACTGAAGCCTCGAGCAACGTAACGAGCCTTGAAGACAGGCGGAGAACCCGGCGGCCGCTTCACCCTGAAAATCCACATGCCACTGACGATATTCGCCCCAGGAGGGGGAACGTCGTCGACGTAAGTGCCTGTGGACTTCCAGGATGCCATCTCTGCGTCCATGGCTGCCTGCCACTAAGAGGAGTAGGGACCCGCGATCGCCTCAGCGTAAGATCGCGGGGTAGTGATGTGTATAGCATCCGGGTCTCCCTCAGGGGCAAGCAGCATGGCCACGAGATGAGGCGCAGCGGCTGCAAGACACTCAAGGTCCTCGTGCCTGTCCTCAAGGACGTCCGTGCCAAGAGCACACTCACCCCCGACGGACGGAGGACAGACAGACTCAGACTCAGCAACAAGACTGGCAGCGTAGTCTAGACGACAGGCAGCAGCAAAGTCAACAAGCTCAGCGACCAAGGCAGACGCAGCAGAAGACTCAAACGAGGGGTCAGTGACAACAGGGGCTAGCAGACGCGTGACTGTAGGGTGCTCAGCACGAAACCGGTCAGACTCAGGGTCCGGAACGTGAGGCAAAGACGACGCAGGAGGGGACGGCAGAGGAACAGACTGTGGAACAGAGGAAGAACGACGAACGACAAGGCGCGTGCGGGGAACAGTCCGCGACCTCGAAGGCGGACCACGGCGAACGGTGCGACCAGAGTGAACTGGCGAGACAAGACGCGACGCAGGCTCACGACGCTCAGTAAGACCTCCTGACTGCTCAGTGTAAGGAGAAGGAGCAGGAAGCGGTGAGTCAGGCAGGAGGGGAAGACCGGTAGAAGACGGAAGACTAAGAACCTGGTGAAGGACAGAGTCTGGAGGTGGCAGAGACGACGAAGGTGGCGGAGCGAAGAACAGGCGCGTCGGTGTAGTGCCACCAGCACCAGCAGCTCCAGTACTCACAGCAGCTCCCGCACCTCCAGTAGCTCCACCACCCCCAGCAGCAACTCCTCCAGGACCGTCTCCACCAGCCGCAGCGCCTCCAGAACCAGCATCCCCAGCTGCAACGTCCCCAAGAGGAGGACCCTCAGACACAGCACCACCAGCCCCAGCAGCTCGAGTACCAGCGGTACGAGCACCTCCGGGACCAGCGACGTGGGCACCCCGTAGCAGAACCCGCAGCGCTTCACCCGTAGCAGCTCCAGAACCTCCAGCTCCAGTGGTAGCACCAGCAGCTCCAGAACCTCCAAGCTCAGCACCCCCAGGCTCAGCGTCCCCAGGCTCAGCACTCCCAGCCCCAGGACCCCCAGGCTCAGCACCCCCAGTCTCCGCACCCCCAGGCTCAGCACCCCAAGGCTCAGCACCCCCAGGCTCAGCACCCCCAGGCTCCGCACTCGCAGGCTCAGCACCCCCAGTGCCAGCACCCCCAGGCTCAGCACCCCCAGCAGTACCACCCGCAGCAGCACCTGAGTCACCTGTGACCTCAACAGGCTCAGCGACGGGAGGAGGGTCTACCTGAGAGACACCTGAAGGAGCAGGACCCTGAGGGGGAAGGGGGTCTAGCGGAGGGGGACCTGGAGCGAGGAAAAGCGGCGGGGGAGGGAGGGGGGCAGTGCGGTAGGGGAAGAGACGGTAAAAGGGTACCGACTCGTCAAAGGTGACGTCCTGAGAGGCAAAGACACGGTGCGAGGTGGGGTGGTAAAACTGCCAGCCAGGCGCGTCAGGGACAAAGCCAAGGAAGACGCAGGGAACGGCACGGGAGGAGAGCTTGTCCGCGGACGTATCGCGAACAAGGGCTCGACATCCCCAGACACGGAACACCGACGCATCGCCAACCTCCCCCGTCCAACACAGTGTGGGCGAGGTCTCTGGAGAAGAGACACGGGGCCAAAGGTTGAGCTGATGCGCAGCGTACCGCACTGCAAACGGCCACAGGAAATGGGGGGCAGCCGCATGGATCATGGAGGTACGAGCGACCTCCATGACTAAACCAATGCGACGCTCAGCAACCCCATTCTGCTGTGGGGAGTCCGGAAGAGTGAAAGTCTGGCGGATGCCGTGCTCCGCACAGTAGGCAGCCAGGAGGGCGGAGGAAAACTCACCACCCCTGTCAGAGTGCAGACGCAGGACGGGAAAGTCCGACTGGAACCGCTGGCGGAGCTGGAGACGAGTAGCGCGGATCCAGGGGATCAAAACATCAGGGACCTCACCCTTGGTGCGCAAGGGGAAGACCGTGGTGTAGCGCGTGTAGTCGTCGACGACCAGCAGGAAGTACCGCTCGTGGCCCTGTCCCCGGACGCGGGCTGGGCCCCACACGTCCAGGTGAAGAGTCTGCAAAGGAGCCTCTGTGGGAGGGAACGAGGAGGAGTGAGGGGTGGCGCGCTGCCGCCCCTCGACACAGGGAAGACAGGGAGGAGCAGGCGAGGGTGGGAGGGGAGGGAGAACTCTGGGAAGACCAGAGACAAGGTAACGGGAGTGCATGCCACGAAGGCGCTGCACGGAGGGGTGACCAAGGCGGTGGTGCCAGAGGACGGTCTGGTGCGACAGGGAGCGACACGAGCAGGGAGCCGACAGCTGACCTGACGCAGATGCAGCTACCTGAGGGGACTCAGTGGTCAGTGTGTACAGGTCCGACCCTGGCTGCCGAGTGAAGGTAGCCAGGTGGCGACCCGTCCGAGCACACGTACAGTGGGTCACTCGCTCATAGGCAGGGGTGAACTGGTGAACACCCCCGTCCTGGAGAGCAGAGCCCGCCACCAAGTTCGTAGAGAGCGAGGGGAGGTAAAGACCAGACAAAGTGCCAGACGGGACCGCAGGACACGGGAGGACAGTGGAGGAGGTCGCAAGGACCGGGCCCCCAGAGGGGTCAGCAAGGGAGACAGCAACAGGCCGAGCGAGTGGCTCAAGGACTGTGCGGTCACGAAAGAAACAGCGAGAAGCACCTGAGTCCAGGGTGAAGGTGTGCAGTGCTGTAGCAGACTCAGTACCAGCAGACGCAGACGCACTAGCACCTAGCGCAGCAGCCATACCAGTACCAATACCTGGGTCAGGCGGCACACTCAGGTAACAGTCACCCTCAGCACTAATAGTCAATGCATACATGGCAGCAAGGATAGCATCATAATCAAGAGCAAAGATATCAATTCCCTTCCTAAGCAGATCAGCCCAGCGAGGCGTCAGGGAACTGCTCGCGCCAGGCGTCATCGAGGCGAGAGAAGCAGCGCTGTGTCGGGTGGAACCTCCCACAAGTCTGGCCAGCGCGATCACCTGTGCGGATGACGTACGAGAAAATGCCCCCACCCCCAGACCCCCCACGCTGAGAGTACCACTCACGAAGCTGCTGGGGCGAGGGAGTCTCGCCAGGACGCTGCTGCGGCTGCCTCTGGCCACCTCCGAACCCCCCACGCTGCACCGCTCCACCGCGCCCGCCACCCGCTCCACCACCGCCACTACCGCCACCACCTCCTCCACCACCCCCACCCCCACCACCGCCGCCACCGCCACCACCCCCTGCGCCGCCACTGACCCCCCCACCACCCGCGCCACTCCCACTTCCGCCACCACCCCCGCCCCCCCCACCCCCTCCACCGCCGCCGCCCCCACCTCCACCTCCACCACCCTTGCCCCCCTTGCCCTTGCCGCTCTTGCGCCTCCCACTGGGAGCAGACGCAGTCCCGACTCCCTCAGCACCGAGTTAGTCGACAGCAGCAGCAGATGCAATGGAGGGGAGGAGGGGGGAGGGGGAGCACCCTTCAAAGAAGGGGGTGCGGGGGTCACCACGAGAGGCACCTACAGCTACAATACTCTTCTCAGCTGCTAGGAGTTCCTTCTCGAGGAGGTCGACAGTGAGGTCAGTGGGGGAGAGAGCGAGAAACTGGTCCCTGACAGTGCGAAGGGAGTCAGGGAGGCGGGTGACAAGGTGGTACAGTGTGAGGTACATCGGGGGGGGGTTCTTGGCGAGGAAATCGGGGGGGAGCGCGGCACGGTAGCGGAGGTCACTGGTACGGAGGTGGGTGATGAGGTCAGCGACAGTGGCAAAGGCGGACAGGTCGGGAAAGAGGTAGGGCAGTGAGAGACGGCCTATAGTAGCAGTGGCAGGGGAGGAGTAGCGCGCGACTACGGCGTCGTACAGTTCCTTGGCGGTCTTATGCTGGCCAAAATGCTCGCGCTCATCTAACGGCAGGTGGCTGCGAACGGCTAGGCGAGCGTGAGCGTCACGGGTCTGCCACTACGAGCGCAAGGAGCTATCAGCATCAGCAGCAGGTGCGGGAGCGGCGCCGGACGTGTGGTCATAAAGAGAAATATCGTCCTTGGCGGTGATCTGAAGGTAGAGGTGAAGGTCATCGAGCCAAACATCGAACTTAATAGGACGACCCTCAGCGTCAAAGGTAAGCACAGTAGGACTGGCCATAGTAGCAGTAGCAGGAGGAGGAACAGTAGCAGCAGGAGCAGTAGCAGTAGGAGCAGTAGCAGGAACAGTAGATGCTGCAGGTGGGGCACAGCAGGGCGGCGCGGCTCGGTCCAGGCGGCGCGGCTCAGTCAGGGCGGCGCGGCTCAGTGAGGGCGGCGCAGCTCAGTCTGGGTTGCGCGGTGCGCTTGGACAGGCAGGGCGACGCGACGGCGAGCCTGGGCGGCTGCGGCGGCTGTGCGCGGGCTGCAGTTGCGCGCGGGCGGCGGTCTGCAGCAGCGACGCGGTGGCGAGCGGGCGGCTAGCGGGCTGCTCGTGGGCGGCTGCGGCGGTGCGGGCGGCTGCTGGGTCGCGCGCGTCAGAAACAGGCCGCGCGCTGGCAGCTAGCGGGCTGCGCGGGCAAAAAACGGGCCGCGCGGGCGGCTAGCGGGCTGCGCGGGCAAAAAACGGGCCGCGCGCTGGCGGCTAGCGAGCGACACGGCAGGAAAGCGGGGCGCTCGAGGGCGCCCTAGGAGCGAGGCGCACGAGGGCGCAAGGTGGGGAAGGCGCACGAGGGCGCTACTAGCAGAACGGTGGGCCCGTAGGAACGGTCGGTCCTAGGTTCCTAACCTAGGCTCGTGATACCATGTCAGAATGAGAAGTGTGTGCACTATGAGAAGATGGGAGTACAAATACAAAACCCTAGAATTGTGTACCCCCTAAAGGCTAACCCACTGTAGCCTACACAGCAACAACACAAGTATAATGTTTGACATGCATGTATATATATATATATAGATCACAGTACAGGCAAAGTCTACAACAAGTGAGGAAAAGTGGGCACAAGCCCTAACAAAGTGCAGAAACGCTGATGATCACTAGGCGGAAGTGCCTTGGTGAATATATCAGCAGTGTTGGCCTGAGTGGCCATGTAACGCAGATGAAGCTGACCACGCTGCTGCAACTCTCGAGCCAGAAAGTACCGCAGAGCGATGTGCTTCGTTCTGTGCTCCAGTCTGTGCTCCTCACACAAGGCAATGGCAGCCTTGTTGTCAACGTACAGCACTGGAGGAGAACGAGGCCGCTCTCCAAGGTCGGTCAGCAGGTAGGTGAGCCAGCGTAACTCCTGAGCAGCCATGGCCGTGGCGTAGATCTCAGCCTCACAACTGGAGCTGAGAACTGAAGACGAACGTGTAGAACGCCAAGAAACTGAGCCAGAGCCAAGACTGAAGGTGTAACCCTGTGACGACCACTGCGTAGCCAGGTCGTCAACCCAAGATGCGTCCGAGTGTCCAGTGAGGATAACCTCACCCCGTCCTCTAAGCACGAGCCCCATGCCCGATGTACTGCACATGTAGCGCAACACCCTCTTCGCAGCATCCTAGTGCACCTTTCGGTGCCTACCAGGAGCCACGTAGCGGGCCAGAAGGCCAAGAGGGTACGCTAGGTCAGGACGAGTGCAAGTCATCAGGTACATGAGGCAACCAACTAGCTCTGGGTAAGGACCACTCGGCTCTACGGACTCATCCGAAGGCAGAGCTGAGAGCGAGTGACCTATAGCCAGAGGAGTGGCCTGTGCTGAGGACCAGGTGAAGCCGAAGCGCTGAAGGACCTGCTGCACCATGTGTGACTGAGTCAGTGTGATGGTGCGGCGTGCTCTGTCCCGGGTGATCTGCAAGCCAAGGTAGCTGCGCAGTTCACCCAGGTCTGTGCACGTGTATCTCTTCTGCAGTTCGGACTTCACGTGGGCGAGAGCCTCAGTGTCAGCAGTGGCAAAGACCAAGTCGTCGACGTACACGAGGATGTAGAACGGCGGCAGCGAAGTGTCGGTGCGCAGAAACAGAGACGGGTCAGCAGTAGAAGGCGCGAACCCAAGAGCCGCAAGTGTAGTCCTCAGTGTGTCGTGCCACTCACGTGGCGCCTGGCGGAGACCGTAGACTGGCCGGCGAAGGCTCCACTGGGTACCAGGAGGAAACGACCCAGTGAAGCCAGGAGGGCGGCACAGCCAGATCTCCTCGTGCAGGCTGCCCTGCAAGAAAGCTGTGCTGAAGTCAAGAGAGTGAAGCTCGTAGTCACGCTGAGCGGCAACGTGCAGCAGTACCCGAAGAGTGGTCATCTTCCGGGTGGACAAAGAAGGTCTGGAAGAAGTCGACTCCCTCTCGCTGACTGAAGCCTCGGGCAACGTAACGAGCCTTGAAGACAGGCGGAGAACCCGGCGGCCGCTTCACCCTGAAAATCCACATGCCACTGACGATGTTCGCCCCAGGAGGGGGAACGTCGTCGACGTAAGTGCCAGTGGACTTCCAGGATGCCATCTCTGCGTCCATGGCTGCCTGCCACTGAGAGGAGTAGGGACCCGCGATCGCCTCAGCGTAAGATCGCGGGGTAGGGATGTCTATAGCATCCGGGTCTCCCTCAGGGGCAAGCAGCATGGCCACGAGATGAGGCGCAGCGGCTGCAAGGCACTCAAGGTCCTCGTGCCTGTCCTCAAGGACGTCCGTGCCAAGAGCACCCTCAACCCCGACGGACAGAGGACAGACAGACTCAGACTCAGCAACAAGGCTAGCAGCGTAGTCTAGACGACAGGCAGCAGCAAAGTCAACAAGCTCAGCGACCAAGGCAGACGCAGCAGAAGACTCAAACGAGGGGTCAGTGACAACAGTGGCTAGCAGACGCGTGACAGTAGGGTGCTCAGCACGAAACCGGTCAGACTCAGGGTCCGGAACGTGAGGCAAAGACGACGCAGGAGGGGACGGCAGAGGAACAGACTGTGGAATAGAGGAAGGACGACGGAGGACAAGGCGCGTGCCGGGGACAGTCGGCGACCTCGAAGGCGGAACACGACGAACGGTGCGACCAGAGCGAACAGGCAAGACAGGACGCGACGCAGGCTCACGACGCTCAGTAAGACCTCCTGACTGCTCAGTGTAAGGAGAAGGAGCAGGAAGCGGTGAGTCAGGCAGGAGGGGAAGACCGGTAGAAGACGGAAGACTAAGAACCTGGTGAAGGACAGAGTCAGGCGGTGGCAGAGACGACGGAGACGGCGGAGCGAAGAACAGGCGCGACTGTGTAGCGTCGCCAGCACCAGCAGCTCCAGCACCGACAGCAGCTCCCATACCTCCAGTAGCTCCACCACCCCCAGCGGCAACTCCTCCAGGACAGTCTCCACCAGCAGCAGCGCCTCCAGAACCAGCACCCCCAGTCGCAGTGTCCCCAGTAGGAGTACCCTCAGACACAGCACCACCAGCCCCAGCAGCTCGAGTACCAGCGGTACGAGCACCTCCGGGACCAGCGACGTGGGCACCTCGAGGAGACAACAAACCAGCACCACTCTCAGCTCAAGTGACGTCAGTGGAAGCACCTCCAGGAGCAGAGTCCCGAGGTACAGGAGCGCGACGCTGACGGCGACCGTACCAGTCGCGCAGCTGCTGGGAGGTGAGAGGCACACGCGTACGAAGGCGGCTACTCCAAGGAGACCGCGCAGCAGCAGACTCAGAACCCGCAGCGCCAGCACCCGTAGCAGCTCCAGAACCTCCAGCTCCAGTGGGAGCTCTAGTAGCTCCAGAACCTCCAAGCTCAGCACCCCCAGGCCCAGCAAACCCAGGCTCAGCACCCCCAGGCTCAGCACCCCCAGACCCAGCACCCCCAGGCTCAGCACCCCCAGCCCCAGTGTACACCCCCAGGCTCAGCACCCCCAGTCTCAGCACCCCCAGTCTCCGCACCCCCAGGCTCAGCACCCCCAGTCTCAGCACCCCCAGGCTCAGCACCCCCAGCAGTACCACCCGCAGCAGCACCTGAGTCACCTGTGACCTCGACAGGCTCAGCGACGGGAGGAGGGTCTACCTGAGAGACACCTGAGGGAGCAGGACCCTGAGGGGGAAGGGGGTCTAGCGAAGGGGGACCTGGAGCGAGGAAAATGGGTGGGGGAGGGAGGGGGGCAGTGCGGTAGGGGAAGAGACGGTAAAAGGGAACCAACTCGTCAAAGGTGACGTCCTGAGAGGCAAAGACACGACGCGAGGTGGGGTGGTAAAACTGCCAGCCAGGCGCGTCAGGGACAAAGCCAAGGAAGACGCAGGGAACGGCACGGGAGGAGAGCTTGTCCGCGGACGTATCGCGAACAAGGGCTCGACATCCAGAGACACGGAACACCGACGCATCGCCAACCTCCCCCGTCCAACGCAGTGTGGGCGAGGTCTCCGGAGCAGAGACACGGGGCCAAAGGTTGAGCTGATGCGCCGCGTACCGGACCGCAAACGACCACAGAAAATGGGGGGCAGCCGCATGAATCATGGAGGTACGAGCGACCTCCATGACTAAACCAATGCGGCGCTCAGCAACCCCATTCTGCTGTGGGGAGTCCGGAAGCGTGAAAGTCTGGCGGATGCCGTGCTCCGCACAGTAGGCAGCCAGGAGGGCGGAGGAAAACTCACCACCCCTGTCTTAGTGCAGACGCAGGACGGGAAAGTCCGACTGGAACCGCTGGCGGAGCTGGAGACGAGCGGCGCGGATCCAAGGGATCAAAACATCAGGGACCTCACCCTTGGTGCGCAAGGGGAAGACCGTGGTGTAGCGCGTGTAGTCGTCGACGACCAGCAGGAAGTACCGCTCGTGGCCCTGTCCCCGGACGCGGGCCGGGCCCCACACGTCCAGGTGAAGAGTCTGCAGGGGAGCCTCTGTGGGAGGGAACGAGGAGGAGTGAGGGGTGGCGCGCTGCCGCCCCTCGACACAGGGAAGACAGGGAGGAGCAGGCGAGGGTGGGAGGGGAGGGAGAACTCTGGGAAGACCAGAGACAAGGTACCGGGAGTGCATGCCACGAAGGCGCTGCACGGAGGGGTGACCAAGGCGGTGGTGCCAGAGGACGGTCTGGTGCGACAGGGAGCGACACGAGCAGGGAGCCGACAGCTGACCTGACGCAGACGCACAAGCACCTAACGCAGCAGCAATTACCAGTACCAATACCTGGGTCAGGCGGCACACTCAGGTAACAGTCACCCTCAGCACTAATAGTCAATGCATACATGGCAGCAAGGATAGCATCATAATCAAGAGCAAAGACATCAATCCCCTTCCTAAGCAGATCAGCCCAGCGAGGCAGCTCAGAGGCGTCAGGGAACTGCTCGCGCCAGGCGTCGTCGAGGCGAGAGAAGCAGCGCTGTGTCGGGTGGAACCTCCCACAAGTCTGGCCAGCGCGGTCACCTGTGCGGATGACGTACGGGCAGGGACCCCCACCCCCAGACCCCCCACGCTGAGAGTACCACTCACGGAGCTGCTGGGGCGAGGGAGTCTCGCCGGGACGCTGCTGCTGCTGCCTCTGGCCACCTCCGAATCCCCCACGCTGCACCGCTCCACGGCGCCCGCCACCCGCTCCACCGCCATCACCACTGCCACCACCGCCCCCACCACCCCCAACACCGCCGCCGCCGCCACCACCCCCTGTGCCGCCACTGACCCCCCCACCACCCGCGCCACTCCCACTCCCGCCACCACCCCCGCCCCCCCCACCCCCTCCACCGCCGCCGCCCCCGCCCCCACCTCCACCACCCCGGCCCCCCTTGCCCCTGCCGCCCTTGTGGCTCCCACTAGGAGTAGACGCGGCTCCGATTCCCTCAGCTCCGAGGTAGTCGACAGCAGCAGCAGATGCAATGGAGGGGAGGAGGGGAGAGGGGGAACACCCCTCAAAGAAGGGGGTGCGGGGGTCACCACGAGAGGCACCTACAGCTACAATGCTCTTCTCAGCTGCTAGGAGTTCCTTCTCGAGGAGGTCGACAGTGAGGTCAGTGGGGGAGAGGGCGAGAAACTGGTCCCTGACAGTGCGAAGGGAGTCAGGGAGGCGGGTGACAAGGTGGTACAGTGTGAGGTACATCGGGGGGGGGGGGGTTCTTGGCAAGAAAATCGGGGGGGAGCGCGGCACGGTAGCGGAGGTCACTAGTACGGAGGTGGGTGATGAGGTCAGCTACAGTGGCAAAGGTGGATTGGTCGGGAAAGAGGTAGGGCAGTGAGAGACGGCCTATAGCAGCAGTGGCAGGGGAGGAGTAGCGCGCGACTACGGCGTCGTACAGCTCTTTAGCGGTCTTATGCTGGCCGAAGTGCTCGCGCTCATCTAACGGCAGGTGGCTGCGAACGGCTAGGCGAGCGTGAGCATCACGGGTCTGCCACTGGGAGCGAGCAATACTGTCAGCAGTAGCGGGAGGTGCGGGAGCGGCGCCGGACGTGTGGTCATAAAGGGAAATATCGTCCTTGGCGGTGATCTGAAGGTAGAGGTGAAGGTCATCGAGCCAAACATCGAACTTAATCAGACGGCCCTCAGCGTCAAAGGTGAGTACAGTAGGACTTGCCATAGTAGCAGTGGCAGTAGTAGGAACAGTAGCAGCAGTAGCAGTAGTAGCAGAGGCAGTTCCAGGAACAGCAGGGGTGCAGGTGGGGCAAAGTAGGGCGGCGCGGCTCGGTTCGGGCGGCGCGGTTCGGTTCGGGCGCCGCGGTTCGGTTCGGGCGGCGCGGCTCGGCTCGGGCTGGGCTACGCAGCGGTGCGCGGCGGGGTGGAGGGGCGTGCGCGCGGGCGGCTGTAGCGGGCGGGCCGTGGTCGTGCGCGGGCCTAACTAGCTCGCGGGCGGCTGCCTAGCGGGGCGTCGCGGCGGCCTAGGGGCGGGGCTGCGACACCCTGGGGGGCGGTCGACGGGCGGCTAGGGGCTGCTCGAGGGCTGCGCCGGGCGCGTGGGCGGTTAGGGGCCGTCGCGCGCTCAGACAAGAGGGCCGCGCACGGGCCGCTAGTGGGTGACGCGCGCGAAAAAAAAAAAAAGGCCGCGCGCGGCACTAGCGGGCTGCGCGCGGGCAGTAGGAGGAAGAGGGGCGCACGAGGGCGCACTAAGAGAGGCGCTCGAGGGCGCTTATAGCGGTGGGCCCTTAGGTAAGTGGTCCTAGGACTAGGACCTAGGCTCTAATACCATCTCAGAATCACGAAGTGTTTTAACTATGAGAAGATGGGAGTACAAGTATGAAACCCTAGAATTGTGTACCCCCTAAAGGCTAACCCACTGTAGCCTACACACTAATAACACATGTTTGACAGTTCCCCCTTATCCCCGTGCTACCGGTTTGGACCGAAGCGCAGGGGATATCACTCTTGTTTTGCTCGTGTGTTGGCACTACCTGAGGTTCTGATTGGCCGGAAAGGCATATTTCATGCCAGCGCACGCAGCTGGCCACCTACTAGATACATCGCTGGCTTTGCGTACTCCCACAGCAATGAACAACTCTCAACTTTCGGGTATGATACGGCAGCTTCCTTTGGTGCACAGATTTTGTGCGCGGCGCGCACATCCACACCTGTTGCTCGGCTGGCAGACGGGTTCACCACCAAACCCGTTCGTGTCCTCCCATTATGTTTGTTACCCTGCACTGCTCTTCAACGTTCCAGGTAGCAAGTGTTCAGTGGGCTTCTCCAGCCACAGCCCCGCCTCCTGCAGCTTTGTTTTGTCGTGAATACCATGGATACTAGCGACGCTGTGGGAGACGCGGCTGATCCCGACGACAGGCCGTCATGTAGCACACCCCCTGCAACTGGGCTTCAGTTTCTGTGCGGTGGGCATGAAGTTTACGTTTGCGATGAAGAGGCGCTAGGGGATGGCGGTACTGAATGGATGCGTCGTCCTCGCAAGGAATCTGGCGACATGGAAGATGGGAACGATGCTTGGTGTCCATCTCCGCGCCCGATGAGTGACGCTGCAGAGTCAGACGGTGTTGAGGAGTGGGTCGCCTCGCCGCGAGCAGAGGTTGCTGCAGAGCCGGCTGCGACGGTTGCAACGCAGGTTGTCGATGCAGCCACTCCTGAGTCGACCGGTTCAGTCGCTCTGAAGAAGCGACGATTTACGCAGCAGGTTCTGCAATGGGGAACACCGCCGCAGAAGCCTGTCGCTCCACCTCCCCGTCCTGCCCCACCCCCCATTCGTCCCCTTTCAGACGAGAAGAAGGAGAAGGCGTACCTGAAGGCGCAGAAGAGCTACAAGTCTGATTGGCTACCAAAGTTTGACTGGCTGATCATGGAAAGGACGCCAGAGGGTGACCCGTGTCTGCGATGCAGTGTCTGCATGGAGCATGGGAAGGACAACGCGCGTTATGGTCGCAATGGCGCTGGCGAACGTGATCTACAGATCGGGTCGATGCGGTGGCACGAGAACAGCGCGAAGCACGAGGACGCGATGAACAAGCAGGCTAACCTTTTGCAGAAGATCGCCGACTAGAAGAAGATTGAAGACTTCGCGAAGGGTGATCCGGAAGGTTGTCGCGTCGCGGTACTCATGCGAGCCATGCGATGGGTATGCCGTATCGACACACCCATCCACATGTGCCCACAGGTCATTCAGCTTCTCGTCGAGGAGGGGGTCGAAAACATACCGCGTCAAAGCTATGGAGTGTATATCACACAGTGAGTTGTTGTTGTCTCTATTGTATTTGAAGCAACCATTTCTGTTTAACGATGCTACGTCGTTGTGCAATGTGTGTGCGCAGGTACGGTTTCTCCGAGATGGCCAGGGCTCTCACCGTGTACCTGACCAGGGAACAATTGCGCCACCTCCCCGCCTCGCCCTTCATCGACCTCATGTGCAACGAGAGTACCGATCGCGCACGTGGCAAACACTTGATTGTGTTTGTCACGTTCCTCAAGAACAGTGTGGTTGTAACCGAGTTTCTCGCGTTACTAGCCGTCCAGCAGTGTGTGTCAGAATGTTATTATCTAGCCTGTAGTGGGGTGCTCTATAGCGGGTACAACCCAGTTAGGGTTTGCTATATGTATCCCAACTGCAGCTAGTGAAACCCTCCTTTTGCTCATTTCTCTCTTGCCTAGCTAGGTAAACCCTAGCTATGGCTCCTACTTGTGCCTACTATTTTGACATGGTATCAGAGCGGTTACGCTCCTGGCCTGTGGGCCCGCCTGCTTCCGCTGCCTTCCTGTGTGTCGCGCGTCCCGTGGCGCGCGATGTTCGTTTTTTCTTCCCGCCGCGCGCTCGGGGCGCGCGGCGGTTTTCTGCCCGCCGTGGCCCCGAGGCGCGCGGCGGTTTCCTCCCTCGTGCGTCACCCCGGGGACCCGCGCTTCCCCCCCTCCCGTCGACCGCCCCGTCGCCCGTCGAAGCGCCCCCCGTCGCCCGTCGAAGCGCCCCCCGTCGCCCGTCACGGAGCCCGCGGACCCGCGCGTCGCCCCCCGTCGCCCGACGCGGCCCGCGCGACCTGCGCCAGGCCCGCGCGCGGCCCGTACGGGCTGCGCCAGGCCCGCGCGCGGCCCGTACGGGCTGCGCCAGGCCCGCGCGCGGCCCGTACGGCCTGCGCCAGGCCCGCGCGCGGCCCGGGCAACCTGCCCCAGGGCCGCGCGCCGTCCCCCGCGCCGTCCCCCGCGCTCCTGCCCCGTGCCACCCGTTTTAGGGTTTGGGGGTGGCGAGTGTGGGGGTGGCGGTTATGGGGGTGCAAGAGTGTGCGCCGTCCCCTGCTCCTCCTCCTCCGTCTCCCACTGCTGCAGCTGCCGCTGAGGGGGGTGGGTGTGTGGGGAGCCGAAGGAGTGGTGCTAGGGGGGTGACGTGGGAGTGGAGTTAGGGGTTCAGCAGGGGGTGTGTGTGATTGGGGGTGGGACTATTGGGGGAGGTTGAGTGGAGGCTGCCGTCTTGTCGTCAGCAGCACCTGTAGTCCGGGGCGCTGTCCTGGTAGCCCAGTCGTAGCCAGCTGTGCCAGTCGCCCGTGGGTCCGTTGCTCCTGCCGCTCGTCTTAGTTACTTCTGTTGCTTCATCGGTCCGTTGCTCAGTCGTAGCCAACTGTGCCAGTGTGCGGAGCCAGTTACTCCAGAAGTCCGTGCCGATGTTCCGGTAGCCGCTGTGCCAGTGTGACTCCTGTCGCCCGTGTGTCTGCAGCTTCAGTCGTCGCCTCCCATCTTCTCTCCTCTCACAGTCACTCCTCCTCCTCACTAGCCCTCTGTGATAACCTCTAGCTTTACTTATAATTGTGAACTCCTGCTATGCTTGCTCATTGTGCTGATTACACCCCACTTTGGCTATGGGGGTGTGTCAGAATGTTATTATCTAGCCTGTAGTGGGGTGCTCTATAGCGGGTACAACCCAGTTAGGGTTTGCTATATGTATCCCAACTGCAGCTAGTGAAACCCTCCTTTTGCTCATTTCTCTCTTGCCTAGCTAGGTAAACCCTAGCTATGGCTCCTACTTGTGCCTACTATTCTAACAGTGTGATGCGGCAGCGCTAATGGGCGCACTTCTCCAGCATCTCGAGACGGTGGGCGTCGACTTGCAGAAGATTTCGGGAATGTCCACGGACGGCGCAGCAGTGATGATCGGTGGCACGTCCGGCCTTGTCACACGACTGCGTGTCCACATCCTCCACCTTGTCGGCTGCCACTGCATTGCGCATCGGTACGTGTGTCGTGGCTGTGAAACTGATTGACTGGTACTCCGTTTTTAAAACTTTATTGTTTTGTAACACTCTTATTCGTTGTTTCCTACTTCTGCTAGCAGCGAAGCACTAGCGGTGAAGGAGACCGCCGCTGCCGAGCAGTTCAAAGATTTCGGCATGGCGGACAAAGCCATCCGTGCAGTTGGCGAGATCGTGGGGAGATCCAAGCCCTTGTACGAGAGGTTCAAAGAGCTTCAACTCGTGATCCACAGCACCAACCTCGAGCACCAGGGACTGTTCGACGTGCGATGGCTCTCCCGTGCCGATGCTGTCAACCGGCTTGTCAAGATTCTGGGGTCGGCAATCGTGCTGTTCCTGGAGTACAAGCACAAGATCGCCGCGGTTGTGAAGACCCTGAAATTTCACTTCTGTCTGTACTTCCTGGCAGACATGTTGGGGGAGTTGAACTCCCTGAATCGTTTCTTCCAACGACGCAAGGTAATTCGTGGCCAAGAGGCTTGTTGATACACATGTTTAATCGTCTTTATTCTTCTTTTTTAATTTACGGAATAACAAATATTTTTTTTCCGTGTGCCGGTCCAGCAGGTGGAGGTGACGCAAGTCACGGTGGAGGTCGACCGTGTGGTGACTGACCCTCATCGAGCACCGCTACATCGACTACGAGGGTTCTTTCGGGGCGGGTCTGAGCACCCACTTGTCGCCATTCATGGCACGTGTCAAGAAAGGGGACAAGAAGGTGAAGGTGGAAGGTGTGGACGTTAGCGGCAGACCCGTCAAACACATCATCGAGCTCAGCGAGCTGCCGGACAAAAAACACAATTTCGGCGGGACCCTGGCAGATTGTGCTAAGATGGGCAAGACCTTCGCCCGTGAGGTCGTGTACAACCTCAAGCACCGCATGCGAGATCTTCGTCGAATGGGCGGCATGAAGCTTTTCAGGGTGGACAAGCGGGCCATCGAATCCGGACACGCGTGTGAGACGTTGTGCCACATGGCTCCGTGAGAACCCGCAACTTTTCAACCACCAGCTGCCAGGTAACTGAACCTAATTTCAGTCGTGTTATTTTGCTTCTTTGAAATCATACCATACGTAAATGTCTAACGAAACTTTCCGCACTTATGAATCCCTCTGCGTACTGTGTTGGCAGGATTCGACCTGCGGGCAACCGAACTTGAGCTGAAACATTCTGTTACGTCATGAGGACGCACCACGAGGACGAGGACTTCTTTCAGGCGCTGACGAACATGCTGAGGTCACGCGACTGGCCGCGAACTTACCCCAACATCATGACCCTGTGGCAGGCGTTGGCCGTCCTGCCACTCAGCACCGTCGAATGCGAACGTGGTTTTTCACGCCAGAACATCATCAAGAGCTGGCAGCGCACGACTCTCAACGACACGCGCCTCACCGAACTCATGAGCATCCACATGCTCGACTACAACGTGGAGTGGCCAGATGTCGTGGACATCTGGCGCAAGCAGAAGAAGAGGCGGCCTACAAAATCACCTGCACCTTTCCAACCAGCCAACGACAAGGGCAAGCCAGAGGCCAGTTCGGACGACGAACGGGAGGTTAACGTAGCAGACGATGAGTGAGCCTGTAGTAGGTCATTGTGTACATGCTATAGGAAATATAAATATTCAACATTTCTTGCAATGCAACAGCAATAACAAACAATGCGTACACATCAGGGTTAACGATAAAAATTACTCGGAGGTGCCAGTGTTTTAAATCTGACAGCTTGTGTTACACTGACAGCTAAGAGAAAGGCTCGCCAAACACTCTGGATTTCAGTGTTATGCAAAAAAACGCCTCTGGAAACCAGTGTACTCTAAAACGGAAAAAAAAAAAAAAAAAAAAAAAAAAACCCTGCTTGCCATCCATATTTTCCTTTGGCCTTTCCACTTTCACTCAGCTGCGTAGTGTAGAGTGCTCACAACCAAGTAAGCACCCATGGTTCCACACCTCTGGAGACTGCACCTGACACGATCCAGCCCAGCCGTTCCAGGTAACAGCAGGCAGATATGAAGTAAATTAGAATTGCTGTAGGTTTTCAGAAAACATACGCAATATTGGTTCAAGAGTAGCTACTACAGAACAATTACTGTACAGAATAGCCAGCAATAGGTCAGTCATCCGTGAACCATGCGGTTGAAATGTCCAGGTACCAGCCAGGAAATTGGGTTTTCAGCTTAGCGGGGACATGTATCTGGACCCTTCCGCTTTCAGGGAACAGACAGCGCTATTTGCGCACAGTTTCCGCAAAAGTCTGGGCTAGGGGGGGAGGGTTATTATTCAGATTAGGGAGTCGAGCTCTCGATGAGCCACGTGGCTAGCCCTACGCAGCTCGCTCACTGTCCATCTACAATCTCAGATTCTGCACTGCGCTTGCTTGTCTTTTCTATCGAATCTAGCCCACGTTCCATTTTTTTTTTTCCGTCCAAATAGCATTGCACCCAAAACACTGAGAAATATAGCGCACCCTTCCTGACCGAAACAAATTAAACCCAATCGGGAAAGGATGCGACTTTGGAGGCCTCAACCCTAAAAAGAAGGAAGGGTCCCGTGTTTAGGGTTGATTCCTCCCTAAAATGCGTCAGGGAGGCATCAACCCTAAACACCATGCCACAAGATGTTTAGGGTTGATGCCTCCCTGACCAGATGCCTTCCTGACTGGGGTTAATTTTTTTTGCTCACGTGTCCGTTGGGGTATCTCGAGTGTAATAAAACGAGTAGAAACGACAAACAAGAGTAGTGGAGAATCTGTGATTGAACTCCTACAGTGAGCTATCTTTGAAAATTGGGACACGTGGCTCATTGAGTGCTCGAGTCCCTAAACTGGACAAAAAGGACGCGTCAACTCCCAGAACTCTAGCAGGATCGAGGCAAGATCGGCTGTGCACACCGATCTTGGCAGGATCGGTGTGCACACCAGTGTGCTCCACCTGCAAATCGGCAGTGTACCCCTACCATCGAGCCCCACTTGACTAGGGAAATTTGCAGGGTCGGTGTGCTGGGTTGGCCTGTCGCATGCTGCAAATCCGCCTTCGCATGACATCGCAAATTGACACTCCCAACAGTGTCTGTGCGACTTGACTTGGGTTTTCGCGGATGTTTGTTACTGGTTTGTGTGGCGGGATTGGTTTTGGCGGTTTCTAGCTTGTGGTCTGCGTGTACAGAAGTGATTTTGCAGGGTGGCTGGTTTTGTCGTCGCTGCGACTCTGGCATGTGTCGCTCGGACCCATGAGCGACGCCGATTGATCGCGGCTGTCAACTAGCGCGCGATTGTAGCTCCCGCTCACCGAAATGCCACGATCGGTGTGTGGCAGGTGGCAAGGTGTCCCGAGATCCGGAGGGGACATCGGGACTATTGGCAGATTTACTGTGCAATGGCGAAACCTGGCGAAAACTGGAAACACGACACTTCGCTAGCTCGTGAATGTACTGTACATATGGCACATCGATCCTACGGAGGATCGATGTGCCCAAAGTGCTGGGAGTTGACGCGTCCTAACCCTCCCCCACTAGCCCAGCCTTAAAGCTCAAGACCACATTGTTCAACCTTACTAAGGTTGCCCTTTGGGTGGCGGGAGAGGAAGTTTGACTTTTTTTAAGTTGGGCTGGTCATTTTCGCCCAGCTTCGCGCTACACCCTCAAGGTTTTCGCTGACTCAGCAAAACCCAGGGAGCAACTCGGTTTGGTTCTCGAGTCCCAAATTGCACTCACAATATTCTTGGTGTTTCCTTCTCTCCTATTCGACCAAAATCTGTTGGCCAATAAAATTTCATCGCACCTCTCGTAACCACAATTCGCAACCAACCTGGACTCAAAACACAACTCTCATCAACTTTAGTAATCTTGCCTTGCGCGCTCTGCAATTTGGGCCTTGAGCTTTAAGCGGAAACTGTGCGCAGAAAGCGCTACCCCTAACCTGAAAGCGGAGGGGTCGGAATACCCCTCCCTGCTAAGCTGAAAACCCCAGGAAATTCGTGGAGAGTTGATGGTGACCACGGAGGTATGATCATGATGGGTACCGCGAAGAGGCCCGCATGATCCGATGGGTACCATTGAGCCACGTGGCTGACCGCGGACGTCAGTGGGCTCGATGTTGGTGAACGCGGTAATGCCCCAGATTCCGAACCACGGATTTTGGTTATTAGACTATTTTTTCGAAGCAAACCAGCCAGACCGAGGAATGTTCCAACCACCACATGCTTTCTGGGCCTTGGGTATGCCCCAGATCGAAACCACAGGTTCTCACTCGGCTTGGACCCGGCCAAGCCAAGCTCCCACGGCGAACAGACGAGACACCGTGACAAACCCAAGCCAAGATTGTGACCAGAATTCCAGGCGAAAATGGCTTCACCGTCTGCATCCCACCCAAATCCCAAGGGCAGCTATTCGAACACGCATGTTGGAGAGATGGGAAGAGCCTGGAATTGCCATGGCGAAAAAAAGCGGACTCACCGACGAGCCGTCCCACTGCGGGCTGTCCAGATGCGGGCTTGGCTCGAGAAGCGTTCCCACCGAGCCTACCGCCTTATGGCCTGCGAGAATCCATGGACTGATTCGGCATTCTGGGGATTCCAGTACAGAATCAAGGCTATGGACTAAATTTCTTGAAAATAGCAGCCACAGATTTCTCAAGCCCTCAAATGAACCGATTCTTGAATCATTCTAACATTAGAAGTTACTCGGGGGAGTTCTTTCCCGCCATCGTCACCAGTCAGCGACGAAGTATTCGTGCTCCCTTGATAGTATCGAAACGAACCGTTTGAGGACTTCAGTTTTGCTGGCAACGTCAAAATCCAACGCTTCGGAATGGCCACCATGTCGCACATCGCGTCGACCGTTCCAGGATTATCACGCATCTCGACCGTCCATCTCGTGGAATCGCGGAGTACAGCGTCGCCATCTCTGAGCAGGAACCCGCATTATCAGCTGATTCGTTTCAAGCAACGAGCCTTACATGCCGAGCGTCGTGCGCCTGGAAGCATCAATAAAAGCTTCCGCGTTAGCAGCAGTACCAGTAACAGCCTGTTGAGCAGCCTCTTTATCTCTAAAGAACGTTCCTTTGCGGCGACGGTGTCGTCTGGGACTCGCAATCATGCCAACAGTGGAGGCTTTTGGTGGGCTGTAGTAGCTGCTTCAGCGTTTTCTCCTGCTGCTTCGGCTAGCAGCAATGGCACAGGCGGACCAGCGGTGTCGGAGGCAGTCATTGTGGGTGGAGGATTGGGAGGCCTCGCAACGGCTATTGGGCTCCGGAACATTGGGATTGACGCGCAGGTGGGGTATTGTCTGGAAGCTGGAATGAAGTAAGAATGCTGGAATCAGGAAGAAAACACTGGATTTAGGGAGAAGTACTGGAATTAGGTGAAAGAGCTGGAAATAGGTTATGGTTGGAATAGCTAAACATTATCATTCATTCGTACCGTATCAAACCTGTTTTCAATCCCCTTAATCTTTCACTGTTTTATTCCCTTGGTGTCTTCGTTATTCAGTGTGACATGTCACCACTGCATGCAACACGTTATCGCTGTGACTGCAAGTGGGAATGTCTGTGCGCCTTATCCTATCCTCTTGATGTATGCCGTCGCCTAGTAGCCTCCCGGTCTCTACATACCATCCATGTACAGGTATACGAGGCATGTGAAGAGGTGCGAAGGGAGGGATTTGAGACGTCTCATAATGCTATATGCTATTACTCGTGTCTCGTGCCCCATGCCTCATGCCACATCCCCCACATGCAGGTATACGAGGCACGCGACGAGGTGCGAGGTGAGGGATTTTGAGACGTTTCAAAAACCATGCCGCATGCCACATGCCACATGCCATGCCACATACCCGTCCCCACGTGCAGGTATACGAGGCACGGGATGAGGTGATAGACGGGGGAACCCTCCTCACCCTCCTCGCCCAACGGGCTCAGGGCACTCAGCAGAATCGACCCTGCTATTGTGCCCCAGGCATGTGATGGTTATGGCTTTGTGTGATGCTGCTGATGTATGCACATGGTAGCCAGTAATAGCTGTGCATAATTGCTCTTGTCTCCTGTTTTCTCATTCCCCCCTGTTTCCATGGCTTTTCATGTCTCATCGATTTATGTAGTTCCCCATCTCCTCTTTCCCTCCGTTAATATACGTGGAGTACCAAAACCAACCTGACTCAACCGCTCTGAAGCCAGCGATCTCCTTTCCGGGGGAAACCTCTTGTGCAACATGCCCTACAGTTCAGCTTCCCCATGCTCACCATCTGCTGTTGCTTGCCTCCCTTCCCTTCCCTTCCCTTCCCTTCCGTTCCCTTTTCTTCCCTTCCCTTCCCTTCCCTTCCCTTCCCTTCCCTTCCCTTCCCTTCCCTTCCTTTGCCGTCCATTGGCTCATTCCCCTTCGTCTCTGCTTTCTCCCAGCTGATTTCCCGTGGAGTACCGGACCCCATCGGTTTCAACCGCACTCCAACGGGTGATATCCTCTTCCGGTTTCAGCCCGCGACCAGCATCACTGCCCGCTACGGCTTCCCCATGCTCTGCATCCGCTGGCAAGAGGTGCTCGATGTGTTGCGGGGAATGCTGCCAAACGATGCCGTCCACACCGGGCATAGGCTCGTGGAGTTTACACAGGGAGAGGAGGAAGAGGGGAGCGGTGCAGTGAAATGCGTTTTTAAGAAGGTTTCGGGCGGTGAAGAGCGGTTTCTTGAGGTGGAGGTGAGTGGAAAATGGGAGGTGGAGAGGGGAGGAGGGTGGGGGATGGTTTTGTGTGAAGGATGAGACGTGGGAAGGGGATGGCGGAGAGGGGTAAAGGGAGGGAAGGGTGGGGTGTGGGGGGAGGTGACAAGCAATGTCATCTTGATGTCTGTGTCTTGTCATTGGCCATAGCAGAGGGCGGATGGGGTGATGACACCATTCGTCGCCCCTTCCTTTCTTCCCCCCCCCCATTCGCCAGACCCCTCTGCTGCTGGGGGCGGACGGCATCCACTCGGAGGCACGAAAGCATTTGCTGAGCGGGGCAGCAGAAGGCGAGGGAGTGAGTGCGCGGGACAACGGCAGAACCATCTGGAGGGCCATCCCAAACCCAAACCCAAACCCAAACCCAAACCAACCCAAACCCAAAGCCACCCAAAGCCTCAAGGCTCACCCAAAGCCTGGTAAGTGCGTCTCAGTCCGCTGCATCCATGTCACACACAAACCAGACTCAGTATATCAAGTCAACCGCACATCATCTACTGTAGGTTATAGAGCTGGCGGGCTACGCCAGCTAGACTATTCTCCCGTTCTTTCCTTCTCCCTTCTTTCCCAGCCTTTCCTTCTGGCAGCAGCTGTAGCCACAACACATACAGAGTATTCATACAGATTTCTCAAGCATTTCCGCAGGTTTACTGAGCAGGTTCTACTGAGCAGGTTCTACTGAGCCAAAAATCACTCCCTGCTTGCTGGCCTTCCCTTCCTGCAGCTGCTGCAGCCACGGCAGGTCGTCACCACACTCAATGTCAATCGCACTGCAACCGCTGCCGACTGTGGAGCAGGCACGCTCTGTCAGGTTGATTATCCCTTACCTGGCCTTCACTTTCCCGGCCTTCACTTTCCCGGCCTTCCCTTCCCTTACTGCAGCTGGTGCAGCCATGCCAGATAAATACAATACTCGGTGTAAACCGCACTGCAACAGCCGCCGACTGTGGAGCAGGCAAACTCTTCTGGGCGTGCACACTCATTGATTCCGCCGATCCGACGGTCAGCAGCGCGCGGTCCGGCGGGGGGGAAGAGGCGCGGGAGAAGATTCTGCGGGCATTTGAGGGGTGGGATGTGGTGGAGCAGCTGGCCAAGGCAACTCCCCCCGACCTCATTCTCGAACGCCGCGTGCTCGACCTCCCGCCCCTGCCCTTCTGGGTCCACGGGAGGGCGGCTCTTCTCGGAGGTATGCCCTTCCATAGTTGGTTCCAACAAATTGGGCAAGGGGTCAAGGGGTCAACCTTCCCCTCTTCATGTTTCCCATTTTGACATCTGCACTTCCTTCCCTGCCCTACCCTCTGCCTTCCCTGCCCTGCCCTCTGCCTTCCCTGCCCTACCCCCATGCCTGTCCAGATGCGGCGCATGCAGTGACGCCAGGGTTGGGGCAGGGGGCCAATCTGGCGTTTGAGGATGCGGCTCAGCTGGTGGAGTGCCTCCGGGCGAACTCGCATCCCAGGTGGGTGCCACATATGTCAGGTGGGTTGTCAGGTAGTTGCCACAGATGTCAGGTGGGTTGTTAGGTGGGTGCCACATATGTCAGGTGGGTTGTTAGGTGGGTGCTGTCGCATGGCACGTGGATTTGATGGCCTGCCGTTATTTCCACTTTACATGATTGTTGCATGCCGGGTGGGTCGTTTTCTATTTATCCATAGCACCATGGTGTGTTTGTCCTCTCTCCCTCTCTCTCTCCATTCTTCTTGCCCTCCAACTCTCCCTCTGTTGCCTCGTCTCTCCCTTGCCATATCCATTATCCTCCCCAACAGTTGCTCTTGGCCCCCATGGTCATTCTCGCCCCCTGTATCTGCTCTTTGCTCCCATAATGCATTCTCCTCCCTTCCAGCGATGCACTTCGCTCCTTCCAATCCATCCGCATGCCACGAGTGCAAGCGGTGATATCACGAAACGTCGCCCACACAAAGAAGCAGTATGACGCAGGAAGGAACGGGAGGAAAGCGGGCGGCGACGGAAGTGAGGCTGATGGAGCGTCAAAGACTGAAGGTAAACAATCGCCATTGGCAGAGGCGGCGGCACAAGAGGGGCGTGATCCAAATGAGGACCTTTTTGGCTATGACATCGTGGCTTGGGAGGATCTTCGTGTTGCAAGTGTTGTGCTGTAGTTCATCTTGAGATGTCTTGTTATGAAAAGGGAGGTGTGATGCTGGCAGGATGCTTTCCTGTTATAAGGGCGATGTGGCTTGGAAGGGGGATGGTTGTGTCGCGATTGTTGTGCGGTGCAGTGGTCTTGTGACTTGTTGCTGTTATGACTCGTAGTGCGCATTCACATATGTGCAGCAATGCATTTTAATGCGGTTCATGATTCTTAGGGTGAATGGAATGAATGTACCAAATTTCATGTTTGAGGAGATGTTAGGGTACTTCAAATTTGTCTTTTATTCATATTCATTGCTCCCATCAGCATTCACTTCTCCTCATACTCCTATTGCTGTCTTCTCTGGAACCTCCACAATCTCGTAGCGGAACATACGCTACGACGCAAAACCAAGTTCGAGCCTCACTCCCCTCTAGGCTCGGGTGTCCGTGCCACAACATGCAGTGCAGAACCCATCAAACCACCAACACCACCACCAGCTTCAGCTTTTATCCCAGAAACCACAAATCCAAGTTATACAAATCAGGCTCGTAATTCCCGAGGCAAGCCATGCTCCCACAGCCAAGGTGAAGAGCCAGCCACCCGAGCCTTGGGTTTGCCCTGGAGTCGGAAGAACCACAGGTTCTGATCTAGTTGAACCAAACCCAGGGGAGGTGCTTGTGTTGGAATTTGGGTTGCCCCTGATCTCGAAACCCGGCAATTCAGGCAATAGTTGATTCTAGTCTTGCCAGCCAACAAGCCACTTCTACCTAGCTTCCCAATGGAAGGCATAGATGGAAGGAAACTGCAATGGCAAACAAAACGGAATCAGCTACAATGAGCCGTCCCATCGAAAGGCTGGGCTTGGCTCGAAAAATGTCCCCTACCGAGCCTGCCGCCTTTTGGTCTTCGAGATACCATGGATATTCGTTCGGCATTAGCTGGACTCGATTGGAGAAAATTACAGCCACACCTATAGCTCTCAAACTAACTGATATTTAGAATCATTCTTGCATCTGGCGAACAAACAGAATCAGTTACGACGAGCCGTCCCGCTTGGGATTGTCCAGATGCGGGCTCGTCTCAAAACGTCCTTACCGAAGCTGCCGCCTTTGTTTGCGAGATTGCGTGGATACTGGTTCAGCGTTCCGGAGACACTAAAGATTCAAGGCTCTGCCGGACTAACTTCGAGCACATGGCAGCCACAGATTTCTCAAGCCCTCAGATGAACAGATTATGAAATCATTCACGAGAGTTCTTTCTGGCCCTTTTCACCAGTCTTGAGTTCTCGTGCTACCTTGATAGTATCAAAACGAACGGTTTGGTGGCAACATCATACTCGAACGCTTCGGTATGGCTTCTTTGTCGCACGTCGCATCGACCGTTCTGGTAGGATCACCCATCTCAGCCGTCCATCTCGTGGACCCGCGGAAAACAGTGTCACCATCTTTGAGCACGGACCTGCGTTATCAGCCGATTCGTTTTACGAAACGAGCCTTACAAGCTAAGTGTTGTGCGTCTGAAAGCATCAGTAAAAGCTTCAGCATCAGCAGCAGCACCAGTAACAGCAACCTTTATAGAGAAAATTCTATTGCGGCTGGCAACGTAAACCATGGAGAGTGTTGGAGGGGTGTTGTTGCCTCCGCGTCTTCTCATGCTGCTTCGGCGAGTAGCAAGAGCACAGGGGGGCCAGCAGTGTCGGAGGCAGTCATTGTGGGTGGAGGGTTGGCCGGCCTCGCTACTGCTATTGGCCTCCGAAACATTGGGATTGACGCGCAGGTATGGTGCTATTCGGAAGCAGGCAGAGTGCTGGAATAAGGGGAAAATGCTGGAATCAGATACTGTATAGAGCTTTGAGTGAGACATTAATGTGCATTGCTACCAGATCAGTCCTGTCTTCGCCTGCTTTATCCTTTTCTTTTTCCCAGTTGTGTCTACGTACCTTATTCTTCTTATGCAGACTGATTTAGTAAGTGCATGTGACATGCTATTGTTGTAACATGTTATCATGTTTCAGTCTCGCGGTGTGTCTGCAAGTGAGAAACTATGTACCTTCTCCGCATATGTTCTCGCGTGCATTTTAAGAATTCTCTAAAGTGACAATCGTTGCATGCATCCCAGGCTGTACATGCCATACCACCAATGCGACAACAAACAGAGCTTCACATGCCATGGCATGTCAATCCGTGCCGTGCCATGCCATGCCATGCCGTGCCATGCCATGCAATGCCATGCCATGCCATGCCATACCATGCCATGCCATCCCATGCAATGCCATGCCATGCCTAATTCCACACCCGCACATACAGATGTACGAGGCAGTCTGTTTTTTAGGCGCCTCAAAACAGGCATGAGACGAGGTGCTAGAGGAGGGTTTCTTAGAACCCTCTAGAGCCATTCTATGCCACGCGTCAAGCCACATCCCCGCATCCCCACATTCCCATATCCCCACTTACCCACATCCCCTTATTTCCACTTCTCCACATCCCCAAATTCTCACATTCCCACGTCCCTCCATGCAGGTATACGAGGCTCGGGACGAGGTGCGAGGGGAGGGCACCATCCTCTGCCTGTTCCCCAACGGGCTCAGGGCGCTCAACCGCTGCCATCGTGCCCCAGGCATGTCATAGGCTGATAGCAATGGTTGCATGTGAGAGCTGGTAATAACTGCGTATTTGAGTCATGGTCTGAACGTGCTGCTGATTTTGCCGTTGCACTTCCCAATCACCTCACGTCGAGGTGTCAGGTTAGGTCAGGTGATTCCTTTCATTCTGCGCCAGCATGTGGTAGAATCAGCAGCCGTTGCTGACTTTTGGGTCGACTCAAAATTCCTTCCATACTGCGCCGGCATGTGGTAGACTCAGCAGCTGTTGCTGCACATGCGCTCCCTCTTCTTCTTCTTCCTATTCCTATTCCTCTTTCACTTTTCCTTCCCTCGCTTTCTTTCCCTTTTCTCGCTTCTTTTCCTTCGGATTTCTCGCGAATTCGTGGACCCCATCTGCCTTCTCTCACTTTCTTTTCCTGCTGGTTTTTCGGGGACCGACTCCTCCTAAACGTTGGTTCAGGGAGTCAGTACGGCCCAACGTCCTCTTTCATGTACTCGTGCACCCCATCTCTCTCCCTATCTGTTTCTTCTCTCACTTTCTTCCCTCAAATCATTGGGAACACTGCAGTGCAGTGCTCTGCACATTCCTGTTTCACCATTTTCTCCAGTTTCCTCATTTCTCCCATTTTCCCGGTTTCCTGTTCTTTCCCTCAGCTGGTATCCCGTGGAGCACCGAACCCCGCCTGTCTCTACCGCTCTCCAACCGGCATTCTCCTTTCCCAATGGGACCTTGCGTCCAACATGACCCCCCGATTCGGCTTCCCCATGCTCTGCATACGCTGGCAAGAGGTGCTCGACGTGCTGCGGGGAATGCTGCCAAACGATGCCGTCCACCTCGGGCACAAGCTCGTGGGGTTTACACAGGGAGAGGAAGAAAAAGAGGGGGGAGGAGGTACTGAGGGGAGCGGCTCAGTGAAATGCGTTTTCAAGGAGGTTTCTGGCGGTGAAGAGCGGTTGCTGGAGGTGGAGGTGAGTGGGGGAGAGGAGGTGGAGAGAAGGGGATGGTGGGGGTTGGTTTTGTTTGAAGGTTGGGATGCAAGGACTGAGTGAGGAGTGGGGGGGAAGGAAGGGAAGGGTGGGATGAGGGCAAAGGGTGGGGCAAGCAATGTGTGGTTACTTATCGATGTCCTGTCAGTGGGTGGGTGGGTGATGACATGGGGTGATGACATGGGTGGATGATATGGGGTGATGACATGGTGTGATGGCATGGGGTGATGACATGGGGTGATGATATGGGGTGATGACATGGTGTGATGGCATGGGGTGATGACCTGGGTTGATTGATGACATGGGGTGATGGCCTGAGCATCGGTGTGTCTAGTTTGTGTGACTGACTCCCTTCTTTCTCTCCCATCCGTCACACCCCTCCTCTGCTGGAGGAAGACGGCATTCATCCTCCGTCTCTCATCGTACCTCTTTTCACCACTCTTCATCCCTCTCTTTTTCCCCATCTGCCAGTCCCCTCTGCTGCTGGGGGCGGACGGCATTCACTCAGAGATTCGGAAGCACCTGCTGGGAGGGGAGGAGGGGCGGAGTGGGAGGGGCGGGGCAGAAGGCGAGGGAGTGAGTCCGCGGGACAACGGCAGAACCATCTGAAGGGCCGTCATCGACAGTTCCCTCTGCCCGCACCCCGTACGTGCCCCTCTGCCCGCACCGAGTATGTGCCCCTCTGCTTCTCCCTTCCATTCTGCCTTCTTGTTAATTCCATGCCAACTGAACAGTAGCTATTGCTGACGCCGTCTAGCAGCTCTTCTACGGATCCCTCTCACACTCCCTTCTTCAGGCCTCCCCCTCTTGTAAGGATTCTCAAAAGCAAGTCATGCTATAAAGAACCCTCTCACACTCGCTTCTTCTGTCCGGCCTTGCCCCTCCTGCAGCTGATCCTGCCAAAACACATGCTTGTTACACTCAGCCTCGACCGCACAGCAGCCATCATCGATGGTGGATTAGGCAAGCTCTACTGGGCGCTCACGCTCGTTGATTCCGCCGATCCAACGGTCAGCAGCGCGCGGTCCAGCGGGGGGGAGGAGGCGCGGGAGAAGATTCTGCGGGCTTTTGAGGGGTGGGATGTGGTGGAGCAGCTGGTGAAGGCCACTCCCCCCGACCTCATTCTCGAACGCCGCGTGCTCGACCTCCCGCCCCTGCCCTTCTGGGTCCACGGGAGGGCGGCTCTCCTCGGAGGTATGGCTGTCCTCCGAGGTATGCATGGGTTGTTATGATGACATGTGTGCAGCTATTGTCGGTGTGTCACCACGGGGAATCCTGGGACTATATTACACGCTCTTACACCCCAACTAGGGTTGTACACACTTGAACCTCAAAATCTGCAATCGATCGACTGTAAGTTTTTACAAGCGACTTTCAAACGGCTTGTAAGTGTCCGGATGGTTCTTGCTTACAAGCGACTTACATCTGCTTCTGAATTCAACATCAGCTGGTGAAAGAGACCATCTTGGCGTCGAATCCAATGACAGCAAGCAGTCAATCTGCTGCCATTCACAGTCGATCGCAATAGTGTTTCCTGCGTGCCAGGTTGCTGTACGCAAAGCCATGTTTCGTAATTCTCAAAAGCGTCTCCTACGTGCAAGGATGAAATGTGAGAAGTCATGGCATGGGGCCACTTTAGACTTCGTTCAGCTGCCATCCACAGTTGGTAATTATAGTATTTCCTACATGCAAGGATGAACTACACTTGTCATTCCACCACCCCACTAGTGCAGGGGGCAATTTTACTTTGCCTGTGATTCCGTTTGTCCATCACCTCTGCCTTTCCCACTTTGCCGCTGCCTTCCCCACATCACCCTCTCCCTTCTTTGCTTTCCACTTTGTTGCCATGTCTATCCAGATGCGGCGCATGCAGTGACGCCAGTGACGGGGCAGGGCGCCAATCTGGCGTTTGAGGATGCGGCTCAGCTGGTGGAGTGCCTCCGGGCGAACTCGCTTGTCAGGTGGGTGCATCCCCATGCCAGGTGGTTTCTCAGGTGGTGTCAGATTGGTGTGTTGGCATGTCAGGTGCTGTGGTGGCAGGATATGATTAATTTATTTCTAAAAGAAGGGCTTGCGATCATGTTGCCAACTGTTTCTCACTCGCAGGCAAGGCAACAGTTGGCAACATGACCACACTCGCATGGCAATCCCATGTGATGCCATGCCAGGCAGGTTTGATAGGATCTCACACAGGTCTAATGGGGCGTCACACAGATATGATAGGAATACATGTCACGCAGATATGATAGGAATACATGTCACGCAGATATGATAGGAATACATGTCACGCTGGTGTCACGGCATACCAGGCTGGGTGTGATACAGTGCCGAGTGGTTTGATGGCATGTTTTTGCATGTCTCCACCTCCATGTATTTGCATCCACCCACCCTCCATTTCTCCCTCCCTTCGTCCTGCCCGCCCCCTCCCCCTCTGTTGCCTCTTCACACCCTCGCCACAATCCATCCTCCTCCGTTTCTGCCTTCTAACCCTTCCCTCTCCAATCCTGGTGTCAGGCAACTGTGATTTGATTCTCAAAATAGTGCCTTTTCTCCCTTCTCTCCCTAACCCTAAACCCTAAACCCATCCAGTGATGCTCTTAGCTCCTTCCAATCCATCCGCATGCCACGGGTGCAAGCGGTGACTTCACGGAACGTTGCTGAAGAAAAGAAGCTCTATCACAAGAAAGAAGAGGAGAAAGAGAAGAAGGCAGGAGGGAATGTGAAAAAAGGGGGTCACGGCGATGCAAGTGAGGTGGGTGCAGCGCCACTGACCCTGAAAGCAGCGGCGTCAGCAACGGCTGCAGCAACGGCAGCAGCAGCGGCAGCGGCACGACCGGGGAGTGATCTTGACGATTATATTTATGGGTATGACATTGTCGCCTGGGAGGAGGAACTTAGTATCGCTAGTGTTGTGCAATAATGCTACCCGTATACATATTTTTATGTTCATGTGTAATCTCATAGACTTCCCCTCATTCTCCTCTCAGTATTTTTGCTTTGTTTTCGTAAGCGTAATTATACTAGTACATTCACCTCTTTTAACTCGTAGCGTTACATACCATTCTGCGTATACTCGAACCTGGGCGTCGCTCTCCGCCAGGTTCGGCTGCCCGTTCGACAACACCATTCCGAAACTGCCGTTTCCCACCAGGAACCACAAATTCTGGTTACAACCCAGGCTAGTTTTTCCCGAGGCAGGCCAAGCTCACTCCATCTGAGCCTCGGTTTCGTCCCAGAACCGGAACCACAGGTTCTGGAACTTCTGGCCTGGTCAGATCGAACCAAAGCCACGCTGCTTGCTTTGGAATGAATCGCAAAACCCAGATTTTCAGGCAATACATGAACCAGTAAATGACTTTCCAGGCTGCTATACTGCATACTGTACCTAGGTGCTTCGTCCTGCTCCGGACCAAAAGGACGAGGTGGAACAAAACTGCAGCGGCGAACATAACGGAATCCAGCCGCCCTGCCGTCAGAATGTGAAGTTCAGGTGCCAGCTCGGCTTGAGAACATCTCTTCCCTTGGGAGCCTGCCGCCTTTTCGTCTGCAAGATACCACGGATGCTGGTTCGGCCTTCCGGAGGATGATTTCCATAAACCACCCTCGCTTGGAGAGCACAAAGCGACATAAGGCAGAGTCAACAGCCTCATCTTCCGCCCTCGATCTTTACATTCTAACCTTAGGGTTGGGGGTCATTCACAGGAGCATCTTACCAGGCCTTTTTACCCAGTCAGTGATTGAGTATTCGTGCTTCCTGGATAGTATACGAAACGAGCAGCTCAAGAACTTCAGTTCTTGGAGGGAGCGGGATAATTGAACGCTCCGGTAGTAACCATGGCGGCCATGTCGCACATCGCGTCGCCCGTTCTGGGGGTATCACGCATGTCACGGTTGGCAACCGTCCGTCTCGTTGACCCGCGGAAAACAGTGTCACCATCTCCGAGCAGGAACCTGCGTTATCAGCTGATTCGATTCAAGAAACGGCCGAATCACTCAGCGGCTGAGTGTAGTGCGTCTGGCAGCATCAGTAAAAGCTTCAGCAGCAGCAGCAGCATCTGCTGGCGTTTTGGGACTCTCAATGTCAACCATGGAGGCTATTGGAGAGGTGTTGCTGCTTCTGCTTCTTCTCCCTCTGCTGCTGCCAGCAGGTCGCAATCAGGAGGACCAGCTGTGTCGGAGGCAGTCATTGTGGGTGGAGGATTGGCCGGCCTCGCAACTGCTATTGGCCTCCGGAACATTGGGATTGACGCGCAGGTGTGGTGTTACCTGGAATCAGGGAAATATGCTGTCTTCAGGTAAGATTGTCGGAATAATGTGAATAGCTAGACATTATACACTTAAAATGCATTGCATGTAACATGTCACCATTGCATGTAATATGTTATCGTGCTTCTGGTTGTGCGCTGTGATTGCGGATGGAAATGTCCGTGTACTTATCCGTGTATGTCCGCATGGCATTTTAGGCTCTACACACCATCCATGCGACAACATGAAGAATTGAGTTTCACATGCCATGCTATGCATGCCATGCCATGCCATGCCATGCCATGCCATGCCATGCCATTCCGTGCTATGCCCCACACCATCCCATGCTTCAGCTGATGCCATATTCCCAAATCCAGATGCACGAGGGATGGGATGAGGTGCGAGGGGAGAGCTTTTGAGACATCCCTAAAGCCATTCCAGCATGCCATGCCTCATTCCGTATGTCACATCCCCGCGTGCAGGTGTACGAGGCACGGGACGGGGTGGTAGGCGAGGGAAGGGCTTTTGAGACGTCCCAAAAGCCGTTCCAATCCACTCCTCCTCATGCCGCGTGTCACATCCCCACGTGCAGGTGTACGAGGCACGGGACGGGGTGGTAGGCGAGGGAACCCTCATCACCCTCTATCCCAACGGGCTCAGGGCGCTCAGCAGAATCGACCCTGCCATTGTGCCCCAGGCATGTGATGGGTGTGGTGTGTGTGTCGGTGATGCTTTTATGGGATAGTGAGTAGCAGTTGTATGCATGCTCCCTCTCTTACCCAACGGGCTCAGGGCGCTCAGCAGAATCGACCCTGCCATTGTGCCCCAGGCATGTCATGGTTATGGCTGGATGTGATGGTGATTGCTATGTGTTTGAGTCTGCATGTGATGGTGATAACTGCACGTGATGGTGATTGCTGCATGTGATGGTGATTGCTGCATGCGATGGCGATGCCTGCATGTGATGGTGATGCCGACATTTGTTGGTGATGCGTGCATGTGTTGGTGATACCGTTGCTTGCCTCCTTTCCTTCTCCCATTCCCTTCCATCTCCTCTTCCCCTCAGCTTATATCCCGTGGAGTACCGGACCCCGCCATTCTCGGCCGCTCTCCAACCGGTGATGTCCTTTTCCAGTGGGACCTCGCGTCTAAAATGACCGAACGGTTCGGCTTCCCCCTGCTGAACATCCGCTGGCAAGAGGTCTTGGACGTCCTGTGTGGGATGCTGCCAAACGACGCCGTCCATGCCGGGCACAGGCTCGTGGGGTTTGCGCAGGGAGAGGAGGAAACGGAGGGGGGAGGGGGTGGTGAGGGGAGCGGCTCGGTGAAATGTGTGTTCAAGGAGGTTTCCAGCGGTCAAGAGCGGTTGCTTGAGGTGGAGGTGAGCAGGGGAGAGGAGGAAGGTGGGGGATGGTGGCAAGACAATCACTGTCTGATTGTTGCAGGCCTGTGAATGTGAGAATTCTTAGAATGTTTGGTTGTTGACGGTGTGAATTTTGAGAATTCTTAGAATGTCTGGTGGTTGAGGGTGTGAATTTTTTGAATTCTTAGAATGCCTGGTTGTTGCAGAGATCTTGTCATTGCCCACGCAGAAGGGTGGGTGGGGTAAGGAAGCGTGGGTGGTGTGATGTGAGGAAGGGTGGGTGGGGTAATGACGGGGACATTTGTCTCTGCCATGCTTTCTCCCTCGTTGTTGTTCTCAGCACAACCTCCCTCCACCGCACTTGACTGGCACTTCTTTCCTTGAACCTCCCCATTTCACCAGACCCTGCTGCTGCTGGGGGCAGACGGCATTCACTCGGAGGCACGGAAGCAGCTGCTGGAGGGGACAGCAGGCGAGGGAGTGAGTCCACGAGACAACGGCAGAACCCATTGGAGGGCCATCATCGACAGTTCCCTCAGCCCGCACCCCGTATGTGCCTATCTGCCCGCACCCCGTATGTGCCTCTCTGCTCCCACCCGCTGTGTCCCTCACTACTCCCACCCAATACGCGCCCCTTGGTGTGTTTTTTTAGTTGACGTAAAAAATTACCCACCCAGTGCCCCTTGGGCCCCACATATGCGCCCGCTCCTCCTATTCAAGGTGTACTGCGTGCTTTCAAACAGTGGCTTTGAAAACAACTTCTGAGATTCTGAGGTGCCTCAAAAGTCTCCCCTAGGCCCCCATGTACGCGCCCACTCCTCCTACCTGAAGTGCATTGTGTGCTTTCAAGCAGTGGCTTTGGAAACATCTGTGTGTGGCGGTGTTTGAGTCTTCTCAATAATCCATGGGTGACGTTTTTTTCGTCTGCTAAAATATTCGTAGTTTGATCCCATTCCCTCCCGGCCTTCCCTTCCCTTGATGCAGCTGGTGCAGCCACGGCTGGTGAACACCATACTCGGTGCCAATCGCACTGCAACCGTGTTTTGAGTCGACTAAAAAAACGAAACGTCCTTCCCTTCCCTTCCCTTCCCTTCCCTCCCCTCCCCTCCCCTCCCCTCCCCTCCCCTCCCCTCCCCTCCCCTCCCCTCCCCTCCCCTCCCCTCCCCTCCCCTCCCCTCCCCTCCCCTCCCCTCCCCTCCCCTCCCCTCCCCTCCCCTCCCCTCCCCTCCCCTCCCCTCCCCTTCCCTTCCCTTGCCTTCCCTTCCAACAGCTGGTGCAGCCACAGCAGGTGAACACCATACTAAGTGCCGACCGCACTGCAACCGTCGCTGATGCCGGAGAAGGCAAGCTCTACTGGTCGCTCGCGCTCGTCGATTCCGCCGATCCGACGGTCAGCAACTCACCGTCCAGCGGGGGGGAGGAGGCGAGGGAGAAGATTCTGCGGGCTTTTGAGGGGTGGGATGTGGTGGAGAAGTTGGTGAATGCCACTCCCCCCGAGCTCATTCGCGAGTCTCGCGTGCTCGACCTCCCGCCCCTCCCTTTCTGGGTCAAAGGGAGGGTATCGCTACTGGGAGGTACGGCTCTCCTGAGAGGTACTCCTGTGTTAATGTCATGTGTAGATTTTTTCTTTATGGCTTGTCAGAACTATGTGAGACACGGTAACAAGGGTGATGATGTACGGGGTCTATGAACTTAATGTACGTTCGTTGGAAAAATTTGTCGGAGGGGAATGAACAATGAGTTTAGAGTCACTTTTGAGATGTCTCACAGGTGATGTGGGATGTTGGAAGGTTGTGTACATCTGAACATCGCCCCCACTCTTATTAGCTGTCCTCTCATACCTACGCCAGATGCAGCACATGCTGTTCTCAAGCGCTTGGCCAGATTTCAACTGTGCTTGTCTCTTGTTTCCAGTCCTGTTTCCTCTCTGCCTTCCCTTCATTACCGTCTGTCGTTCCCACTCTGCCCTCTGCTTTCCTTGCCCTGCCCTCTGCCCTCTGCTTTCCTTGCACTGCCCTCTGCCCTCTGCTTTCCTTGCACTGCCCTCTGCCCTCTGCTTTCCTTGCACTGCCCTCTGCCCTCTGCTTTCCTTGCACTGCCCTCTGCCCTCTGGTTTCCTTGCACTGCCCTCTGCCCTCTGCTTTCCTTGCACTGCCCTCTGCCCTCTGCTTTCCTTGCACTGCCCTCTGCCCTCTGCTTTCCTTGCACTGCCCTCTGCCCTCTGCTTTCCTTGCACTGCCCTCTGCCCTCTGGTTTCCTTGCACTGCCCTCTGCCCTCTGCTTTCCTTGCACTGCCCTCTGCCCTCTGCTTTCCTTGCCCTGCCCTCTGCCCTCTGCTTTCCTTGCACTGCCCTCTGCCCTCTGCTTTCCTTGCCCTGCCCTCTGCCCTCTGCTTTCCTTGCACTGCCCTCTGCCCTCTGCTTTCCTTGCACTGCCCTCTGCCCTCTGCTTTCCTTGCACTGCCCTCTGCCCTCTGCTTTCCTTGCACTGCCCTCTGCCCTCTGCTTTCCTTGCACTGCCCTCTGCCCTCTGCTTTCCTTGCACTGCCCTCTGCCCTCTGCTTTCCTTGCACTGCCCTCTGCCCTCTGCTTTCCTTGCACTGCCCTCTGCCCTCTGCTTTCCTTGCACTGCCCTCTGCCCTCTGCTTTCCTTGCCCTGCCCTCTGCCCTCTGCTTTCCTTGCACTGCCCTCTGCCCTCTGCTTTCCTTGCACTGCCCTCTGCCCTCTGCTTTCCTTGCACTGCCCTCTGCCCTCTGCTTTCCTTGCACTGCCCTCTGCCCTCTGCTTTCCTTGCACTGCCCTCTGCCCTCTGCTTTCCTTGCACTGCCCTCTGCCCTCTGCTTTCCTTGCACTACCCTCTGCCCTCTGCTTTCCTTGCCCTGCCCTCTGCCCTCTGCTTTCCTTGCACTGCCCTCTGCCCTCTGCTTTCCTTGCACTGCCCTCTGCCCTCTGCTTTCCTTGCACTGCCCTCTGCCCTCTGCTTTCCTTGCACTGCCCTCTGCCCTCTGCTTTCCTTGCCCTGCCCTCTGCCCTCTGCTTTCCTTGCACTGCCCTCTGCCCTCTGCTTTCCTTGCCCTGCCCTCTGCCCTCTGCTTTCCTTGCCCTGCCCTCTGCCCTCTGCTTTCCTTGCACTTCCCTCTGCCCTCTGCTTTCCTTGCACTGCCCTCTGCCCTCTGCTTTCCTTGCACTGCCCTCTGCCCTCTGCTTTCCTTGCCCTGCCCTCTGCCCTCTGCTTTCCTTGCACTTCCCTCTGCCCTCTGCTTTCCTTGCACTGCCCTCTGCCCTCTGCTTTCCTTGCACTGCCCTCTGCCCTCTGCTTTCCTTGCACTGCCCTCTGCCCTCTGCTTTCCTTGCCCTGCCCTCTGCCCTCTGCTTTCCTTGCCCTGCCCTCTGCCCTCTGCTTTCCTTGCACTTCCCTCTGCCCTCTGCTTTCCTTGCACTGCCCTCTGCCCTCTGCTTTCCTTTCACTGCCCTCTGCCCTCTGCTTTCCTTGCACTGCCCTCTGCCCTCTGCTTTCCTTGCACTGCCCTCTGCCCTCTGCTTTCCTTGCACTGCCCTCTGCCCTCTGCTTTCCTTGCACTGCCCTCTGCCCTCTGCTTTCCTTGCACTGCCCTCTGCCCTCTGCTTTCCTTGCCCTGCCCTCTGCCCTCTGCTTTCCTTGCACTGCCCTCTGCCCTCTGCTTTCCTTGCCCTGCCCTCTGCCCTCTGCTTTCCTTGCACTGCCCTCTGCCCTCTGCTTTCCTTGCCCTGCCCTCTGCCCTCTGCTTTCCTTGCCCTGCCCTCTGCCCTCTGCTTTCCTTGCACTGCCCTCTGCCCTCTGCTTTCCTTGCCCTGCCCTCTGCCCTCTGCTTTCCTTGCACTGCCCTCTGCCCTCTGCTTTCCTTGCACTGCCCTCTGCCCTCTGCTTTCCTTGCACTGCCCTCTGCCCTCTGCTTTCCTTGCACTGCCCTCTGCCCTCTGCTTTCCTTGCACTGCCCTCTGCCCTCTGCTTTCCTTGCACTGCCCTCTGCCCTCTGCTTTCCTTGCACTGCCCTCTGCCCTCTGCTTTCCTTGCACTGCCCTCTGCCCTCTGCTTTCCTTGCACTGCCCTCTGCCCTCTGCTTTCCTTGCACTGCCCTCTGCCCTCTGCTTTCCTTGCACTGCCCTCTGCCCTCTGCTTTCCTTGCACTGCCCTCTGCCCTCTGCTTTCCTTGCACTGCCCTCTGCCCTCTGCTTTCCTTGCACTACCCTCTGCCCTCTGCTTTCCTTGCACTTCCCTCTGCCCTCTGCTTTCCTTGCACTGCCCTCTGCCCTCTGCTTTCCTTGCACTGCCCTCTGCCCTCTGCTTTCCTTGCACTGCCCTCTGCCCTCTGCTTTCCTTGCACTGCCCTCTGCCCTCTGCTTTCCTTGCACTGCCCTCTGCCCTCTGCTTTCCTTGCACTGCCCTCTGCCCTCTGCTTTCCTTGCACTACCCTCTGCCCTCTGCTTTCCTTGCCCTGCCCTCTGCCCTCTGCTTTCCTTGCACTGCCCTCTGCCCTCTGCTTTCCTTGCACTGCCCTCTGCCCTCTGCTTTCCTTGCACTGCCCTCTGCCCTCTGCTTTCCTTGCACTGCCCTCTGCCCTCTGCTTTCCTTGCCCTGCCCTCTGCCCTCTGCTTTCCTTGCACTGCCCTCTGCCCTCTGCTTTCCTTGCCCTGCCCTCTGCCCTCTGCTTTCCTTGCCCTGCCCTCTGCCCTCTGCTTTCCTTGCACTTCCCTCTGCCCTCTGCTTTCCTTGCACTGCCCTCTGCCCTCTGCTTTCCTTGCACTGCCCTCTGCCCTCTGCTTTCCTTGCACTGCCCTCTGCCCTCTGCTTTCCTTGCACTGCCCTCTGCCCTCTGCTTTCCTTGCACTGCCCTCTGCCCTCTGCTTTCCTTGCACTACCCTCTGCCCTCTGCTTTCCTTGCACTGCCCTCTGCCCTCTGCTTTCCTTGCACTGCCCTCTGCCCTCTGCTTTCCTTGCACTGCCCTCTGCCCTCTGCTTTCCTTGCACTGCCCTCTGCCCTCTGCTTTCCTTGCACTGCCCTCTGCCCTCTGCTTTCCTTGCACTGCCCTCTGCCCTCTGCTTTCCTTGCACTGCCCTCTGCCCTCTGCTTTCCTTGCCCTGCCCTCTGCCCTCTGCTTTCCTTGCACTGCCCTCTGCCCTCTGCTTTCCTTGCACTGCCCTCTGCCCTCTGCTTTCCTTGCCCTGCCCTCTGCCCTCTGCTTTCCTTGCACTACCCTCTGCCCTCTGCTTTCCTTGCACTGCCCTCTGCCCTCTGCTTTCCTTGCACTGCCCTCTGCCCTCTGCTTTCCTTGCCCTGCCCTCTGCCCTCTGCTTTCCTTGCCCTGCCCTCTGCCCTCTGCTTTCCTTGCACTGCCCTCTGCCCTCTGCTTTCCTTGCACTACCCTCTGCCCTCTGCTTTTCTTGCACTGCCCTCTGCCCTCTGCTTTCCTTGCCCTGCCCTCTGCCCTCTGCTTTCCTTGCACTGCCCTCTGCCCTCTGCTTTCCTTGCACTGCCCTCTGCCCTCTGCTTTCCTTGCCCTGCCCTCTGCCTTCACCTGAAACGCCCTCCGGTCGGTCCAGATGCGGCGCATGCAGTGACGCCAGCGCTTGGGCAGGGAGGCAATCTGGCGTTTGAGGATGCGGCTCAGCTGGTGGAGTGCCTCCGGGCGAACTCGCATGTCAGGTGGGTGCAACTCATGCCACGTGGGTTGTTAGGTGGGCGCACCCCCCAAGTCAGGTGGGATGTCAGGTGGGACGTCAGGTGGGATGTCAGGTGGGATGTCAGGTGGGATGTCAGGTGGGATGTCAGGTGGGATGTCAGGTGGGATGTCAGGTGAGATGTCAGGTGAGATGTCAGGTGGGATGTCAGGTGGGATGTCAGGTGGGATGTCAGGTGGGATGTCAGGTGGGATGTCAGGTTGACGGCCCCCCACCATCCTCCTATCCATCCATCGCCCCCTGTTGCCTCTTCACTACCTCCCCATAGTCCATCCTCCTCCTTCCTTACTGCTGCCTGACTCCTCCCCATCAAACTCCCGTTATAGGCATCTGAATTTTGAGGCATTCTACCTGTCTCCTTCCCGTCCCTTCCAGTGACGCTCTCCGCTCCTTCCAGTCCCTCCGCATGCCACGAGTGCAAGCAGTGTCAGCACGGAACACTGCCCAAACAAAGAAGGTGTTTGACAAGGAGAACAAGGGGAAAGAGGGGAAAGAGGGGAAAGAGGGGAAAGAGAAGGATGCAGCAGGTGGTGATGGAAGTGAGGCGGATGCAGCGCCAAAGATTGAAGAGGTACAGGCAGCATCTGCTGCAGTGGCGGCACGAGAGGGGCGTGATCCTGACGAGGATCTGTATGGTTATGACATTGTGGTTTTGGAGTAGGATGTTGCGAGTGTTATGTGGTGATTCGTTTTAAGATGTCTCGCTACAAGTGGGGCGGGTGGATCCTGATGAGGACCTGTATGGTTATGTGACAAGTGGACTTGTTAGCAAACGTGCCATCACAAGGGGTTGTGTGTGATGCTGATTACCGTAGGTTCTGCACGCTTGCGTCGGGAGAAGTGTTCGTCGTTGTGCTGCAGCTGTTGTGCTCTCAGGTGGTGTGCCTTGCAATAATATGCGATGCGTACAGTATGTGAATTATCTGTCATTACTGTTCACACTTTCCCTTTACCAGTGTAGCTTCTGTGCATAATGATGACTCAATGTAAAGTTGATCTCAGGAGAAAGCAAGCACAGTGCTCACAACCACATGCAGGCACCCAACCGTTCCACTCCTAACTGCACCCAGACCAACCCAGCCCAACCCAGCCCAACCATTCCTGGTGGCATCATACAGGTTGGTGTCAAAATGAGGAATGAATGATGCATTGATGTTGGTTGGGGTACATATAGCTAACCCTAAGTTTTGTACCCCCTAAGACAAACCTCACTATAGGCTACAACATTTGACACACCCCCATAGCCTAAGTGAGGGGTGTCTAGCAGAACCAAACGAGTACGGTCACAAGACCAGTCCAAGAAACGAAGCTCAGGGTGGATCACAACGTCACCACACAGTCTGAGCACAAACAACAGTGGCCACAAGGCCAGTCCAAGAAGTGACAGAGGTACAAAGAAAGCAAAGTAAACAGTACACTCAAGTCTAAGCAACACGAGAACCAGTGTCAACAAGGCCTAACTGCACACAGCACCTCTGGTGGTCACAAGGCGGAAGCGCCTTGGTGAAGATGTCTGCAGTGTTGGCCTCGGACTCCACAAACTCAAAGCGAGCCTGTCCACGCCTCTGCAACTCTCGCAGAAGAAAGTACCTGACGTGAATGTGCTTCACTCTGCTCTCCAGTCGTGGCTCTCGACAAAGGAGAATAGACGCCTTGTTGTCAGTAAACAAGGTCGGTGCAGAGCTCGGCCGCTCACCAAGGTCGGTGAGCAAGAAGGTCAACCAACGCAGCTCCTGTGCCGCCATGGCACCAGCGTAGATCTCAGCCTCAGCTGTAGAGGTCGAGACCGAAGAGGAGCGCGTGGACCGCCAGGAAACAGCTCCAGAACCCAGGCTGAAACAGTACCCCTGAGTAGACCTGTGAGTCTCAGCGTCGTCAGCGTAAGAGGAGTCACAGTGACCAGTAAGTACGACAGACTGCTGCCCTCCAAGAACTAGCCCCACGCCTGACGTCGTCGCTAGGTACTTCGCCACCCTCACAGCTGCTGTCCAGTGAACAGGACGGTGTCTCCCTGGCGCAACAAAGCGCGCAAGAACGCTGAGAGGGAAGGCGAGGTCCGGGCGAGTACAAGTCATCAGGTACATGAGGCAACCCACAAGCTCAGCGTAGGGACCACTAGGCTCGAACGGCTCGTCAGGAAAGGGTCCAGTGAGTCTGTGGTCAACAGCAAGAGGTGTGCGCTGTACTGTGGAGTGCTGAAGCCCGAACCGCTGAAGGACCTGCTGCACCATGTGCGACTGTGAAAGTGTAATGGTGCGAGCAGCTCTGTCCCTGGTGATCTGCAGGCCAAGGTAGTGGCGCAGCTCACCAAGATCAGTGCAGGTGTGTCTCTTCTGCAGTTCGGACTTCACGTGTGCCAAAGCAACCCTGTCAGGGGTGGCGAAAACAAGGTCGTCAACGTAGACCAGAACAAAGAAAGGTGTGGGGCCACGACGAACGAACAGCGACGGGTCAGCAGAAGACGGCTGGAACCCAAGGTCAGACAGGGTAGAACGCAGGGTGTCGTGCCACTCACGAGGAGCCTGACGAAGTCCGTAAACCGGTCGCCTCAGCCTCCACTGGGTCCCAGGAGGGAAAGAGCCAGTGAAGGCAGAGGGACGACGCAACCAGACCTCCTCGTGAAGACTGCCCTGAAGGAAAGCAGTAGAGAAGTCGAGAGAGTGTAACTCGTAGTCTCTCTGTGCTGCTACGTGTAGTAACACCCGAAGAGTGGTCATCTTCGGGGTGGGCGCGAAGGTCTGAAAGAAGTCAACTCCCTCGCGCTGACTGAAACCTCTAGCCACGTAGCGCGCCTTGAAGACCGGAGGAGATCCCGGTGGCCGCTTCACCCTGTAGATCCACATGCCGTCGACTACGTTCGCCCCCGGAGGGGGAACCTCATCGACGTAGGTGCCTGTGGATCTGTAGGAGGCCATCTCTGCGTCCATGGCAGCTCTCCACTGAGAGGCCCAAGGCCCTGACACTGCCTCAGCGTAAGTGCGAGGAGTCGGAATGTCAAGGGCGTCGGGGTCACCCTCAGGGGCGAGGAGCATGGCACAGAGATGAGGGGAAGCGGCCGCCAGGAACTCTAGCTCAAACTGCCTGTCCTCTAGGGCGTCACTGCCAAGGGCAGACACACCCCCGACGGCCAGAGGACTGGAAGGAGGAGCAGCCACAAGAGCGGTGGCGAAGTCAAGGCGGCGGGTAGAGGCAAACTCAGTGACTGCGGCAGTAAGAGCGGACACAGAGGACACAGAGGCACGAGGGTGGGTAACAAGAGAGGCGAGAACACGAGAGAGAACAGGACGGTACGTGCGGTAGTAGTCAGTGACAGGAGAAGGAAGCGACACAGTGAGGGCCGACTCAGGAGGAGACGGAAGCACAGACGGAGACGGACGAGGTGGACGAGAACAAAGGAAGGCTGTACGAAGGTCAGTGAAGGGAACAGGAGACGAGGGACGAGCACGAGGGGAGCGACGAGAGGCCCAAGTCTGAGAAGGAGGAGGAGACAACGAAGACTGAGAACGAGGGAAAACAGCGGGAGAGGGGTCAGGAGGAGGAAGCGGAGGACCAGAGACGGGAGGAGAGGGGGAGGAGGAAGGAGAGGGAGAGGGGAGACCAAGGGTCCGAAGACCCGAGACAGGAGGAGGAGACGGCAGCTGCTGCTGCTGCGGCTGCTGCGGCTGCTGCTGCTCCAGCGGCTGCTGCCCCTGCTGCTGCTCCTGCTGCTGTCGCTCCTGCTCCTCGAGCCGCTGCAACTCTCTCTCCTCTCTCTCCAACTCCAGCTGCTCCTCACGAGCACGGCGAACACGAGCCTGGAACCTGGTCGGGTAGGGGTGGGGGGAAGGAGTAGTGTCCGGGGCAGCGGCAGCCCCAGAGTCGACCTCCGAAGCACCAAGCACACCACCCCCAGAGGCAGCACCAACACCAGCTCCAGACCCAGGCTCTCCAGAAACCGAAGGGACACCCTCACCCCCAGACGCAGCACCCCCAGACTCCGCACCAGCACCCCCAGACTCCGCACGACCAGTACCAGCCCCCGGAAGACAAGAGTCCTCTGCAACCCGCGGCTCAGCTCCAACTCCAGCACCCCCAGAACCAGAGACCTGTACAGGGACAGTCGCAGGACCAACCTCCCGAGAGGGAGCACCTGCAGGAGGCGGCGAGGAAGACTGTGGGGAGGGAGGCTGTACAGGGGGGGCTACCGAAGGGGGAGGGCTAGCCTGAGACACACCAGACGGGGCTGGACCAGGGGGGGAGGCTGTACCGGGGGAGCAGGCGGGGGAGCGGCGGTCAGGAAGAGAGGGGGGGGAGGGACCGGGAGACCTCGACTGGGGTACCTGACGTAGTAGGGGGTGGACTCCTCGAAACGGACGTCACGGGAGTCAAAGAACCGGTGAGAGGGAGGGTGGTAAAAGGTGAAGTCAGAGGAGTCCTCAGGGAAACCAAGGAAGACACAAGGAACGGCGCGAGGCGAGAGCTTGTCCGCGGAGGTGTCGCGGACAAGAGCCAAGCACCCCCAGACACGAAACCTCGACGCGACACCAGGGGACCCTGTCCAAAGACTGGTCGGTGAAGCCTCCGGCCGAGAGACGCGTGGCCAGAGGTTCAGCTGGTGCGCGGCGTACCTGACCGCGTATGGCCACAGGAAATGGGGGGCACGGGCGTGAGTCAAGGAGGTGCGGGCAATCTCCATGACCAGGCCTATGCGACGCTCAGCAACCCCATTCTGCTGTGGGGACTCCGGAAGCGTCCAGGACTGACGAATGCCCTGTTCGCGACAGAATCCAGCGAGAATGCCGGAGCAAAACTCGCCCCCGCGGTCGGAGTGGAGACAGCTGACACGACGACCACGAGTGTCCTGGGTGGTAAGCAACCACCTGATCAGCGTAGAAGTCACCTCAGACTTCCTCGCCAGGGGGAACACTGTGGTGTAGCGGGAGTAGTCGTCAACGACCACCAAAAAGAAACGCTCACGCTCAGGGCCAGGGCGAGGAGAGGGGCCCCAGACGTCCAAGTGCAGCGTCTCAAAAGGCTCGGTGGCCGGACGAAGGGAGGAGGAGTGAGGGGTGGCGCGCAGCCTACCCTCGACGCAAGGACCGCACGGTGGTGCAAGGGACGGCGGCAGCGACGGCAAGACACGCGGGAGACCTAAGACAAGACGCTGACGAGACATAGCGCGAAGACGAGGAGGAGAAGGGTGCCCCAGCCGGTGGTGCCACAAAACGGTGGGGTGGGCAAGCGACCGACAGGAGCAAGACGCAGCGACCGGACTAGACGGAGGAACCTGACAAGACACAGCTACCTGGGGGGACGGAGCAACCTGGTGAGACGCGAGGACTCGAACGGGAGGCAAAACAGGGGCCGGGGGCAGGAGGGGCGGCTGTGGCTGCTGCTGCTGCTGCGGCTGCGGCTGCGGCTGCTGCTGCTGCTGCAGTCGCTGCTGAGGGCGCGGGCCAGTGTGAAGAGTGTAGAGACCGGAGCCCGGCTCAGCAGCAAAAGTGGCGAGGGGCTGGTAAGAGTCCCCGTCAACACACACCGCAGTCTCTCCAGAAGGCTCAAACCACACACCCACGTGCTGACTCACGAGGGGTCGCACGCCCACCAAGTTCCGGGAGAACGAGGGGACGTGAAACCCAGTGAGAGACCCAGAAGGAGCAGCCGGACACGGCAAGGTGGTAGTGTGACGCGCGGTGACTGGTCCCGAAGTGGGATCAGCCAGCGCCACAGAAACAGGCGCAGGAAGAGGCGTAAGTGTCGTGCTGTCACGAAAGAAGCAGTGAGAAGCTCCAGAGTCCAGCGTGAACGACAGCGAACCGTCCTCTGAGGTAGCCGCTGGACTAGAGTCTACACAAGAACCTACACTAGCAACAGGCAACTGAGCAAGGCTAGCACCTAAGCTAACAACACCAGAGTAAGCAGAGTCAGAAACACTAGAGTCAACAACAGCATACATAGCATGGGGAGTACCAATCAGATCAACTAACTGCTCAGCAGACATGCCCCACAGAGCGGAGCCGTAGCGCTGAACAAGAGGCAGCCAGTCAGGGGCAGGAGCACCAACCCCGTAGACCAAACGAACCGTGTCAGTGAGCTGAGCAAAGCACTGACCAGGGGGGTGAAACCGGCCACAAGGGTGGCCACGACGAGGGCCTGTCAGAACCTGGTAGGTGCAGGGAGGGTAAGCAGCACCGCGCTGGGTCTGACGCAGCCCCGACCCTGGAGCCAGCTGCTGCCGCTGCTGCTGCTGAGGCTGCTGGGAGGAGAGGGGCTGCTGGTGCTGCAGAAGCTGCTGCTGACGCTGAGCCTGGTACCACGCCGCTGCTCCACCAACCGGGGCAGGAAGTACAGGAGGCGACTGACGAACTCGGGCGTCGCCACCACCAGCAGGCGCAGTGGAGTCACCAGTCACTGCACGAGGCGCCTCTCCAGGCCCTGAACCTCCACCGCCGCCAGGCGCAACGCCACCTCCACTACCTCCGCCTCCACCTCCACTACCACCACCAGAACCGCCTTTCTTGCCACTCCTACCGCGGGACCGCGACGCAGTCGTAACAGCAGCTGCAGTCGCGTCAGTAGCGGCAGTGGCAAGTGAGGCAGTAAAGGTGGGTAACTGCGGGACTGTGCACCCGTGGAAGAGTGGGGGGGGCACAGCACCAGAGGCAGCGGCTACCGAGCGAAGGTTGCTCTCGACGTCCTTGAGTGCAGACTCAAGGACCTCGACGGTGAGCTCACTAGGGTGCTTCAGCAGAAGCGCGTCGCGAACGGAGGCAAGGCGGTCAGGGAGGCTAGTGGCGATGAAATAGATAGTAATCGCCATAGGGGGAGGAAGCAGTGCAAGCTGTGCCTCAGTGCAAGCAGCGCGGTAACTAGCGTCGAGCGAGCGGAGGTGAGCGATCAAGTCAGCAGAGCGCTCAAAAGACGCTAGGTCAGGAAACAGGAACGGGAGGAACAGGCGGCCAAGAGAGACAGCAGCGGGAGTAGAGTAGCGGGCCTTAATCGCAGTGAGGTACGCAGCAGCGGTGCGAACCTGAGTGAAGTGAACCTCCTCAGACTCAGGGAGGAGGCTGCTGAGCGCGATGCAGGCCGCAGCGTCACGTGACGTCCAAGCCGTCTGGTCAGCTCGCTGAGTGGCAAAGCGGGCTCTAGCGGCTTCGTCAGGGGCAGGTCCTAAAGGCGTAGGGTCGGGGGGCGCAGGTAGGGCACCAGTAGCGTGCGCCCAGAGGGTCTCGCCTGCCTGGACCTGACTCTCTAACAGGCGGCGAGCGCGAAGAAGCCAGACTGGGAAATCGAGCGGGCGACCGTCAGCATCGAAACGAAGGACGCGAGGGGTCGCCATAGTGTGCAAACGGAATTGGCAGGGAAAGCAGGGCGCAGCGGCAAGGGAGAACGGGCAGGAAGAGCGGGCAAGAGCGGGCGGGTAGGTCAGGTGTGGCGGGCCTGGGCGACGGGCTAGGGCGCGAGCCAGGGCGACGGGCTAGGGCGCGAGCTGGGGAGACGGGCTGGGGCGCGGGCCAGGGCGACGGATCGACGGGCAGCAGGGGGAAACGCGGGTCGACAGGCAGCGGGGGGGAGCGCGGGTCGACGAGCGGCGGGGGGAAGCGCGGGTCGACGGGCGGCGGGGGAAGCGCGGGTCGACGGGCAGCGGGGGGAAGCGCGGGTCGACGGGCAGCGGGGGGAAGCGCGGGTCGACGGGCAGCGGGGGGAAGCGCGGGTCGACGGGCAGCGGGGGGAAGCGCGGGTCGACGGGCAGCGGGGGGAAGCGCGGGTCGACGGGCAGCGGGGGGAAGCGCGGGTCGACGGGCAGCGGGGGGAAGCGCGGGTCGACGGGCAGCGGGGGGAAGCGCGGTTCGACGGGCAGCGGGGGGGGGGGGGGGGGGGGGGGAAGCGCGGTTCGACGGCAGCGGGGGGGAAAGCGCAGCGCGACCGGCAGCGGTACGCTAGATCGGGCTACGCTAGATCGGGAGGAAGAACGAGCGGTAACGAACGAACGGGACTAGATCGGGCCGGCACTAGGCTCGGGTGGTACGATCGGAGAACGGAGAAACGGGATCCCACAGGATCCTAACCTAACTGATACCATGTCAAAATGAGGAATGAATGATGCATTGATGTTGGTTGGGGTACATATAGCTAACCCTAAGTTTTGTACCCCCTAAGACAAACCTCACTATAGGCTACAACATTTGACAGTTGGAGGAGGTGAACCACAACTGCTGGCAAAAATGTAAATTGCATCTTTGGAAAGATGACCAAATGACCATATAAGGGCAGCCAAGCCATCCATAGTTCAAGACTTCAGAGGAACTGAGTGATCTGAGTACAGGCACACATGGAGCTCAGACCCCTCAACACCCCTCACCACCCCTCAAGGCCCCTCAAGTACCCTCAAGAGGAACTGTCAAGAGGAAGTGTGTCATCGGAATACAAGTAATCATAGAACTCAGCTCTTCTCCCCCTAAGAACCTTCCAAGACCCTTCAACACCACTCAATACCCCTCAAGACACCTCAAGAGGAAGTGTGTCATAGGAGTACAAATACTCATAGAACTCAGACTCTTCTCCCCCTCCCTTTCCTGCCGGCATTGCACCTGCCGCTGCTGCTTCAGTTCCCTTGCTGCTCTCTCTCTCTGTGCCTCCTTCTTTATCCTCGTAGATTTTCCTGGAGGATGCGACGTTCTGTGAGACCACGGCTTGCACACGCGGCATGCGGATGGACTGGAAGGAGCGTAAGGCGTCACTGCAGAGAGGATGAGAGAGGGAGTAGAGAGGGGATGGGTGGTGCATGAGGAATGTATTCAAAACACAGAGGAACTGGAAGGATTAAAGAACAATATGCAGAGAGAGGGTGAGTAGGGGAGCAGAGGGAAGAGGGGTGGTGCATGATGAGTGTACTCAGATTAGAAACACAGCGGGACTGGAAGGAGTAAAAAAGGCATCACTGCAGAGAGGGTGAGGACGAGTGGAAGGAGGAAATGGGAAGGAACGGGGAGGGTATATGCGGGATGGAGGGAGGAGGGAGGAGTGCAGCACAAAGATTGAAAAGTGTAAGCACCAACCTGACATGTGGCAGCACCCACTGGGCATCCCACGTGGCATTCCACCTGGCATTCCACATGGCATCCCACCTCGCTTCTGACCTGGCTTCCCACATCCCATTGCGTGAGTGCACCCACCTGACAGCCCACCCAACAATCTACCTGGCAACCCACCTGACATGGGGATGCTCTCACCTGAAAACCCACCTGACAGCCCACCTGACAGCCCACCTGAGAACCCACCTGACAAACGAGTTTGCCCGGAGGCACTCCACCAGCTGAGCCGCATCCTCAAACGCCAGATTGGCGCCCTGCCCCAGCGCTGGCGTCACTGCATGCGCCGCATCTGGACAGACAGGAGGGTAGAGAGAGCAGACGGGACGGGCACAGGGTAGAGACCAAAGGGAATGCGTTGGAGGCAGAGGGAGATGAACGGAAGGCAGAGACATGTGCACTCTGTCTCTAATGCCAGAGAAGATTTCCCACCAGCACCAGCAGTTGTCAATTTCAAGATCGAGACTTCAACACGTGGCAGGGTTGCAGCATGTATCGTAAGAACACCTTTTTTACAAACCCCCCATTCGACTACTATCCATCGTCGTAATCATTCCACACGCCACCATCCCAGCAGTACCTCCCACGAGTCCAGTACCACCAAGGAGTGCCTTACCTCTCAGCAGCGCTGCCTTCCCGTTGACCCAGAAGGGCATACCTCCGAGGAGAGCCGCCCTCCCGTGGACCCAGAAGGGCAGGGGCGGGAGGTCGAGCACGCGGCGTTCGAGAATGAGGTCGGGGGGAGTGGCCTTGGCCAGCTGAGTCACCGCATCCCACCCCTCAAACGCCCGCAAGATCTTCCCCTTCGCCTCCTCCCCCCCGCTGGACCGCGCGCTGCTGACCGTCGGATCGGCGGAATCAACGAGCGTGAAGGCCCAGTAGAGCCTGCCTGCTGCGGCATCAGAAATTGTGGCTGTGCGGCCGGGTCCCACCATGGCCAGGATGTGACGCGGCTTGAGGAGCTGAGGGATGGGAGGGCAGGAGGCGGAGAGAGCGAGAGAAAGAGAGGGGGCAGAGAGGAAGATACAGACGGGGCTACTTTTGAGGCGCCTCAAAAGTACCAAGAGGAACATACAGAGTGGGGGCAGAGAGGAAGATACGGAGAGCGGGAGATACAGATGGGGTAGGGAAAAACAAATGGGGTGGGGGCAGAGGCACATATTCGGGGTGCGTGCGGGCAGAGGGGAGAGGCAGAGGGGAGAGGCAGAGGGGAGAGGCAGAGGGGAGAGGCAGAGGGGAGAGGCAGAAGGGAGAGGCAGAGGGGAGAGGCAGCGGGGAGAGGCAGCGGGGAGAGGCAGCGGGGCGAGGCAGAGGGGAGAGGCAGCGGGGCACAGACGGGGTGGGGGCAGAGAGCACTGTCGATGATGGCCCTCCAGATGGTTCTGCCGTTGTCCCGCGGACTCACTCCCTCCCCCAGCAGCTGCTTCCGTGCCTCCGAGTGAATGCCGTCCGCCCCCAGCAGCAGAGGGGTCTGGCGAATAGGGGAGTTTCAGGAAAAGAATTGTGCAATGAAGAGTGGAGGAGGGCGGTAGAAAGAGGGCATGGTAGAAAGAGTCTCTTTCTTTCTTTATACCACAGCGAAAGAAAGAGGGCATGGTAGAAAGAGTCTCTTTCTTTCTTTATACCACAGCGAAAGAAAGAGGGCATGGTAGAAAGAGTCTCTTTCTTTCTTTATACCACAGCGAAAGAAAGAGGGCATGGTAGAAAGAGTCTCTTTCTTTCTTTATACCACAGCGAAAGAAAGAGGGCATGGTAGAAAGAGTCTCTTTCTTTCTTTATACCACAGCGAAAGAAAGAGGGCATGGTAGAAAGAGTCTCTTTCTTTCTTTATACCACAGCGAAAGAAAGAGGGCATGGTAGAAAGAGTCTCTTTCTTTCTTTATACCACAGCGAAAGAAAGAGGGCATGGTAGAAAGAGTCTCTTTCTTTCTTTATACCACAGCGAAAGAAAGAGGGCATGGTAGAAAGAGTCTCTTTCTTTCTTTATACCACAGCGAAAGAAAGAGGGCATGGTAGAAAGAGTCTCTTTCTTTCTTTATACCACAGCGAAAGAAAGAGGGCATGGTAGAAAGAGTCTCTTTCTTTCTTTATACCACAGCGAAAGAAAGAGGGCATGGTAGAAAGAGTCTCTTTCTTTCTTTATACCACAGCGAAAGAAAGAGGGCATGGTAGAAAGAGTCTCTTTCTTTCTTTATACCACAGCGAAAGAAAGAGGGCATGGTAGAAAGAGTCTCTTTCTTTCTTTATACCACAGCGAAAGAAAGAGGGCATGGTAGAAAGAGTCTCTTTCTTTCTTTATACCACAGCGAAAGAAAGAGGGCATGGTAGAAAGAGTCTCTTTCTTTCTTTATACCACAGCGAAAGAAAGAGGGCATGGTAGAAAGAGTCTCTTTCTTTCTTTATACCACAGCGAAAGAAAGAGGGCATGGTAGAAAGAGTCTCTTTCTTTCTTTATACCACAGCGAAAGAAAGAGGGCATGGTAGAAAGAGTCTCTTTCTTTCTTTATACCACAGCGAAAGAAAGAGGGCATGGTAGAAAGAGTCTCTTTCTTTCTTTATACCACAGCGAAAGAAAGAGGGCATGGTAGAAAGAGTCTCTTTCTTTCTTTATACCACAGCGAAAGAAAGAGGGCATGGTAGAAAGAGTCTCTTTCTTTCTTTATACCACAGCGAAAGAAAGAGGGCATGGTAGAAAGAGTCTCTTTCTTTCTTTATACCACAGCGAAAGAAAGAGGGCATGGTAGAAAGAGTCTCTTTCTTTCTTTATACCACAGCGAAAGAAAGAGGGCATGGTAGAAAGAGTCTCTTTCTTTCTTTATACCACAGCGAAAGAAAGAGGGCATGGTAGAAAGAGTCTCTTTCTTTCTTTATACCACAGCGAAAGAAAGAGGGCATGGTAGAAAGAGTCTCTTTCTTTCTTTATACCACAGCGAAAGAAAGAGGGCATGGTAGAAAGAGTCTCTTTCTTTCTTTATACCACAGCGAAAGAAAGAGGGCATGGTAGAAAGAGTCTCTTTCTTTCTTTATACCACAGCGAAAGAAAGAGGGCATGGTAGAAAGAGTCTCTTTCTTTCTTTATACCACAGCGAAAGAAAGAGGGCATGGTAGAAAGAGTCTCTTTCTTTCTTTATACCACAGCGAAAGAAAGAGGGCATGGTAGAAAGAGTCTCTTTCTTTCTTTATACCACAGCGAAAGAAAGAGGGCATGGTAGAAAGAGTCTCTTTCTTTCTTTATACCACAGCGAAAGAAAGAGGGCATGGTAGAAAGAGTCTCTTTCTTTCTTTATACCACAGCGAAAGAAAGAGGGCATGGTAGAAAGAGTCTCTTTCTTTCTTTATACCACAGCGAAAGAAAGAGGGCATGGTAGAAAGAGTCTCTTTCTTTCTTTATACCACAGCGAAAGAAAGAGGGCATGGTAGAAAGAGTCTCTTTCTTTCTTTATACCACAGCGAAAGAAAGAGGGCATGGTAGAAAGAGTCTCTTTCTTTCTTTATACCACAGCGAAAGAAAGAGGGCATGGTAGAAAGAGTCTCTTTCTTTCTTTATACCACAGCGAAAGAAAGAGGGCATGGTAGAAAGAGTCTCTTTCTTTCTTTATACCACAGCGAAAGAAAGAGGGCATGGTAGAAAGAGTCTCTTTCTTTCTTTATACCACAGCGAAAGAAAGAGGGCATGGTAGAAAGAGTCTCTTTCTTTCTTTATACCACAGCGAAAGAAAGAGGGCATGGTAGAAAGAGTCTCTTTCTTTCTTTATACCACAGCGAAAGAAAGAGGGCATGGTAGAAAGAGTCTCTTTCTTTCTTTATACCACAGCGAAAGAAAGAGGGCATGGTAGAAAGAGTCTCTTTCTTTCTTTATACCACAGCGAAAGAAAGAGGGCATGGTAGAAAGAGTCTCTTTCTTTCTTTATACCACAGCGAAAGAAAGAGGGCATGGTAGAAAGAGTCTCTTTCTTTCTTTATACCACAGCGAAAGAAAGAGGGCATGGTAGAAAGAGTCTCTTTCTTTCTTTATACCACAGCGAAAGAAAGAGGGCATGGTAGAAAGAGTCTCTTTCTTTCTTTATACCACAGCGAAAGAAAGAGGGCATGGTAGAAAGAGTCTCTTTCTTTCTTTATACCACAGCGAAAGAAAGAGGGCATGGTAGAAAGAGTCTCTTTCTTTCTTTATACCACAGCGAAAGAAAGAGGGCATGGTAGAAAGAGTCTCTTTCTTTCTTTATACCACAGCGAAAGAAAGAGGGCATGGTAGAAAGAGTCTCTTTCTTTCTTTATACCACAGCGAAAGAAAGAGGGCATGGTAGAAAGAGTCTCTTTCTTTCTTTATACCACAGCGAAAGAAAGAGGGCATGGTAGAAAGAGTCTCTTTCTTTCTTTATACCACAGCGAAAGAAAGAGGGCATGGTAGAAAGAGTCTCTTTCTTTCTTTATACCACAGCGAAAGAAAGAGGGCATGGTAGAAAGAGTCTCTTTCTTTCTTTATACCACAGCGAAAGAAAGAGGGCATGGTAGAAAGAGTCTCTTTCTTTCTTTATACCACAGCGAAAGAAAGAGGGCATGGTAGAAAGAGTCTCTTTCTTTCTTTATACCACAGCGAAAGAAAGAGGGCATGGTAGAAAGAGTCTCTTTCTTTCTTTATACCACAGCGAAAGAAAGAGGGCATGGTAGAAAGAGTCTCTTTCTTTCTTTATACCACAGCGAAAGAAAGAGGGCATGGTAGAAAGAGTCTCTTTCTTTCTTTATACCACAGCGAAAGAAAGAGGGCATGGTAGAAAGAGTCTCTTTCTTTCTTTATACCACAGCGAAAGAAAGAGGGCATGGTAGAAAGAGTCTCTTTCTTTCTTTATACCACAGCGAAAGAAAGAGGGCATGGTAGAAAGAGTCTCTTTCTTTCTTTATACCACAGCGAAAGAAAGAGGGCATGGTAGAAAGAGTCTCTTTCTTTCTTTATACCACAGCGAAAGAAAGAGGGCATGGTAGAAAGAGTCTCTTTCTTTCTTTATACCACAGCGAAAGAAAGAGGGCATGGTAGAAAGAGTCTCTTTCTTTCTTTATACCACAGCGAAAGAAAGAGGGCATGGTAGAAAGAGTCTCTTTCTTTCTTTATACCACAGCGAAAGAAAGAGGGCATGGTAGAAAGAGTCTCTTTCTTTCTTTATACCACAGCGAAAGAAAGAGGGCATGGTAGAAAGAGTCTCTTTCTTTCTTTATACCACAGCGAAAGAAAGAGGGCATGGTAGAAAGAGTCTCTTTCTTTCTTTATACCACAGCGAAAGAAAGAGGGCATGGTAGAAAGAGTCTCTTTCTTTCTTTATACCACAGCGAAAGAAAGAGGGCATGGTAGAAAGAGTCTCTTTCTTTCTTTATACCACAGCGAAAGAAAGAGGGCATGGTAGAAAGAGTCTCTTTCTTTCTTTATACCACAGCGAAAGAAAGAGGGCATGGTAGAAAGAGTCTCTTTCTTTCTTTATACCACAGCGAAAGAAAGAGGGCATGGTAGAAAGAGTCTCTTTCTTTCTTTATACCACAGCGAAAGAAAGAGGGCATGGTAGAAAGAGTCTCTTTCTTTCTTTATACCACAGCGAAAGAAAGAGGGCATGGTAGAAAGAGTCTCTTTCTTTCTTTATACCACAGCGAAAGAAAGAGGGCATGGTAGAAAGAGTCTCTTTCTTTCTTTATACCACAGCGAAAGAAAGAGGGCATGGTAGAAAGAGTCGCTGGATCTGCGTCTGGCGGGTGAGAGGAGAAAGAGGGGAGAGATGACACGCGGTGGAAAGAGCACTGCAGAGCAGAGCGAAGGAAGTGCTTTGGGAAGGGTTGGAATGGCAAGAGAGGGGAAAGAGCCCGAGTGGTTCCTGGCGTCAACCGTGTCTCCCCCTGTACTGTCTCGTTACCAACCCACCTCCACGCGCACTAGATGCCCGCTGCCACACGAAACAGTGGTGTAAAAGCATTCCACCCCTCTGAACTTACCTCCACGCGCACGAGATAACTCGACTCAAAATCCCACCTCCACGCGCACTAAATGCCAGTTTCCACACAAAACAGTACTGGAAAATCATTCCACCGCAACCCACCCCTCACAACCAACCTCCGCGCACACGAGATGCTCGTTGCCACACGAAACAGTACTGAAAAAGCACTCCACCATGCCTTCCACAATTCATTCAACACCACTCACAAACCCACCTCCACACGCACAAGACCCTCGTTGCCACATGACGAAACAGTGGAGAAAAACCATTTCACCGCACCCAACCCCTCAGAACCCACCTCCACGCGCACGAGATGCTCGTTGCCACACGAAACAGTACTGAAAAAGCACTCCACCATGCCTCCCCCCTCCGCCACGCCATCCCTCTCCACCGCACCGGACTCCTCCCCATTCCTTCCATCCTCCTCCTCCCTCTGAGTGACCTTCACGAGCCGGTGGCCGGTGTGGACGGCGTCGTTTGGCAGCATTCCGCGCAGCACGTCGAGCACGTCGCGCCAGCGGATGGAGAGCATGGGCAGGCCGAAGCGGGCGGTCATGGTGGCACTGTAACCCCATGGGGCGATGACGTCACCGGTAGGGGAGAGGAGGAAACTCTTCGGGTCCGTGACACCTAGACGAATCAGCTGGAGGGGAGGAAGGAAATAAATAAAGAAGAGGGGGTTGGAATCCGGTCCGGCCGGCATGTAATGAGTCGAGTTTTGAGTCAACTCAAAACTCGACTCATTCCACGCGGAATAAAGAGGAGGGGGTTGGAATCCGGCCGGCGCAGAGCATCTAGCTTGCCTAGCGTGTGGCTTCTTGAGGCTCCTCAAAAGGTGCTGAAAGCCGTGTTTTGAGACGTCTCAAAAAAAACTTCTTGAGGCGCCGCGCAGCACGTCTAGCACGTCCCGCCAGCGGATGGAGAGCATGGGGAGGCCGAAGCGGGCGGTCATGTTGGCACTGTAGCCCCATGGGGCGATAACTTCTCCCGACGGAGAGAGAAGGAAACTCGCAGGGTCTGTGGCTCCAAGGGGAATCAGCTGAACTGAAGGCGGGATGGGAGAGGAGAAGAAGGAAAGAAGAGGGTGTGACATTGGGAAGAGCATTTTCTCAGCGCATGGCCACGTGATAAAAGAGTTGTTTTGAGACGTCTCAAAACAAAACTTTTATTACGTAGAAGAGCATTTTCTCAGCACATGGCGACCACAGGATGGCTGTAGGCCGAAGCGGGCGGTCATGGTGGCACTGTAACCCCATGGAGCTATGACTTCACCCGCGGGGGAGAGGAGGAAACTGGCGGGGTCTGTGACACGACACCCAAAGGAATCAGCTGGAGGAGAATGGGTGAAGGATGGATGGACATAGCAACATGAGCCAAAGCAGAGCATCGGTGAGTGAGGAACAGAGAGATTTGTTGGTGAATGGAAGGAAAGCAAGAGCGGAAAAGCGCAAGTAAGGGTGGAGGAGAGCATGGGCAGGCGGAAGTGGGATGGGAGGTCCTGGAGGCACTGTAGCCCCATGGGGTGATGACGTCACCAGAGTAAGACGGTGATGAGATTAAGATGACATGAACTGTCAGGGACGTTTGGCAAGACGAGGCTGGTTGCCTGGATCGAACATTTGTTATCCCATGCACATTGGCACGTGCAGCCATTACTATCACATGCCTGGGGTACAATGACAGGGTCGATTCGGTTGAGTGCCCTGAGTCCGTTTGGGAAGAGAGAGATGATGGTGCCCTCTCCTCCTCCCACCTCCTTCCGCGCCTCATACACCTGTAAGCAGCATGGCATGGCAAGCAGTGGCGGCATGCCATCAGGTGACAGCGTGGCAAGCAGTGGCGGCATGGCATGGTGAGGCATGCACAATGGACTGGCACCATAGCATCATGGCATGGCATGGCATGGTGAGGCATGCACAATGGACTGGCACCATAGCATCATGGCATGGCATGGCATGGTGAGGCATGCACAATGGACTGGCACCATAGCATCATGGCATGGCATGGCATGGTGAGGCATGCACAATGGACTGGCACCATAGCATCATGGCATGGCATGGCATGGCATGGTGAGGCATGCACAATAGACTGGCACCATAGCATCATGGCATGGCATGGCATGGCATGGCATGGCATGGCATGGCATGGTGAGGCATGCACAATGGGCATCGTAGAATCGACTGTAGCAGCCGTGCTGGCACTGTAGCAATGGCGTTTGCACAGCAGAAGTCGTGAATACACGGTAGCAGTGGCGCTGGCACTGTGGCAGTGGCACTGCCGCTGTGGCAGCAGTAGAGAAGAGTTAACCCATGTGCAACCAGATAAGCTGCGGTATCTGAAATCCCAGATAACATCCCACCTGCGCGTCAATCCCAATGTTCCGGAGGCCGATAGCCAATGCGAGGCCGGCCAACCCTCCACCCACAATCACTGCCTCCGACACTGCTGGTCCCCCTGTGCTCTTGCTGCTCGCAGCACCCGCAGCAGCAGAACCAGCAGCAGCAGCAGCAGCCGAAGAAGAGAAAGAAGCAGAAGCAGAAGCGGCGACACCTCTGCTGCAGTGGTTGTCACTGGGAGCAACAGACCCCATTTCTGGACGAATAGCTCTCTTAAACCTGCTGATGGAGCCGCTCTTGCTGTTCCCGCGACCGTTGCTGGTCAAGCAAGCTTCATGGAAGCTGGAGGACAGGCTTATGGAGCTGCTGCCAGGCGTGAGATGCGCGGCATGTGATGCTTGTGCCTTGAATCGAACAGCCTGAAAACGAGAATTGCCGCTCAACAGTGCCTCCGGTGTTCGCAGTATACGCGGTGTGGAGTGGCAGTTGAGCAAGCACATGTTTCTGGTGCCAGTTATTCCGTAAACGCTTGACACGCCAGTGGCAGTCATAGCCGATGCGCTGACGGTGCTGGACTAATCGTTCCGGAGCACTATGCTATATGCCGAAGCGGCTCGACCCTGCGACTGTTATGCAACCTCTTATTACAGTCTTAGGACCTTGTGAACCACAAAGTACCATGCAATGCGGTGTAAAGAACCTGTCCAAACGATTGTTATGGATTTCCTCCTCCGGATGTAGAAGCATCATCATCAGCAGCTTGACAATGTATCAACTCGTAAGGCACCGCAAGCCAGCTTGGCATGGCAGTGCCATCTCGTTCGACAGTGCTGTTGAGACTCTCAACAGAGGCATTGCGTGCCATTGAGGAACAGAGGGCCTCAGAACGACGTCGTTTCCAGCTGTCGCAAGAGACCGGACGAACTGAACGCCTTGGATCGAGACTTTGAGAACGGATGCGATCCTGGACGTCCAATTCCGATAGAGACCGTCTCAATCTTGAACGGAAGGACGGTATGGACGGGCGACGGCGAGGCTCCTTGAAACGAACGTCGCCTCGAGCCATCCGAGAAGCTGAATTGCCTCGGTCACCGCGCGACCCGCTCCACATGGAGCCGCGAGCATGGTGGCCCGTCGTAAGACCGCCTTGTTCAAAAGGATGTTCCACGCTCTCACTGTACGTAATAAGGTACGTGGCTGCTTTATCTCGAAAATGTTTCTCAAATGCCAGACTTCCCGCAGAGCCTGTCGCTGTGTATGACGACAGCGAAGGGGTGTTTTCCGTCTCGGAATTGCCGAAACAAGCTGACTTGCTCATTCACTTTTGAACTGACTATCTACAGTTTCTACAGAAGATGATTTACCACACGTACTATAAACGCGGTATTTTTCCTTCCGGCATACTTTGGATGCTGCGTGGCGTGAGCAAGTAGAGAAGCGGCTCCATCACTTGAATGCTGAAAGCTTACAGCCCAGATCAGGCCCCAATAAATCGATCTAAACACTGTAAACACTGCAATGCAATCGTGCAACACAAGTGGAATGTATTTACAGTAAGCGAAGCGGATACAATTTGCCACCAGCTACCTTCAGTCAACAACACTTACCAACCACAGTTGACAACGGACCAGGCCAGGGAAATGAGGTGAAAATGGCCTTCAGGTACAGCATTAAATTAAAATAATAGAACCAAATCAACAGCCCCATTACCATAACCTTAATGTGAAAATGGAACAGGGAGCCCTTCCCAGCCAAGTCAACAATGAAGCTGTTACAATACAATCAGCCAAAACACCAGCCTCGGCATTTGTACCCGACCCGAATTCTTGCAATTTACCAGCAGGCTCGAATCTACCAGCCTCAGCGGCTGCTGCAGGCAGCGTGTTTTTGGACTGAAGTGGGATGGGTTTTGGGGGGCAGTGAGGCAGGTGGGTACAGTAAGGTCATCTGTGGTGCAGAGGGTTGGTGTGCTGTGCATGCAAGGAAAGCAGTCCTGTGGGACGGCGCTGCAATCAATGGAATAAATACCCAGTTGTGTTGACAGCAGTCATCAAAAGTCAACAGTGAAAGTGCTACGACCGGTCAAAGCATTAGTGTGGCCGCTACCACCCCCTACTCTGGCTGAGGTAAACCCCCCTCCACCACCAGCCAGCGCGTTCCTAGACTGAGGTGGGACAGGGCGAGGGGGGCGGCGAGGCAGGTGGGTGTTGTAAGGCCGTCGGTAGTGCAGAGGGTTGGTGTGCATCCGGGGCAAAGCGTCCTGAGGAGATGCAGTGGGGTCAGAGGTCTTGGCACTACTGTGTGGGTTTCCAAAGCGGTTGTGTGAGGTATGGGAGGGAAGGGAGGGATTTGCATGGTCGTAGGAGGGAGGAGGGGAGACGTGGGAGAAGGAATGAGGGTTGGAGAGAACAGAGGGTGTGTGAGAGGGAGGAGGGGAGAGGTTTGTGTTGGCTCCTGGGTGCTGCTGCTGCATGTGGCTTTGGGGGGCTTGGTGGGTTTGGAGGGATTGGAGGGACCTGGAGGTTTGGTTAGGGGGTGGATAGAACAATGCATTAGAGGTGGGAAGAAATGGCTCTGTGGAGGAGGTTAGGAGGGCAAACTGCTGCAGCTGCTCTCGGTGCTTCTGTTGCTGCATCTGCTGTTGTTGCTGCTGTTGCAGCTGCTGCTGCTGGTTCCACTGCAGTTGCTGTTTCTGTTGCTGTTGTTGCAACTGTTGTTGCTGTTGCAGTTGAAGTTGCTGCTGCTGCTGCTGCTGCTGCTGCTGCTGCTGCTGCTGCTGCTGCAGCTGCTGCTGCTGCTGCTGCTGCTGCTGCTGCTGCAGCTGCTGCTGCTGCTTTTGCTGCTGCAGCCACTGTTGATCCCAATCACTCTCCTCTTGCTCAGCACGCACCTGCATCACCTCCCGTGCACGCACGCTCACCCCCCCACCAGGCACCTCCTGCCTCTCCTGCTCAAATGAAAACATGTCGCCACTGTCACAGTCCAATACAGTCACAATACTCTCGCTTCCACCGCCCAATGCAGGTGTGGGTGTGCTTTCCTCTGCCGCACCAAGCTTCCAAACCGGCTGGTCAGCCTCAGCGACTTCCCGAGCCTCCGGATCAGTGGAGTTGGGGGAAAAGGAATTGGGGGAAAAGAACGTGGGGGAGAGAGGCGGTTGCTGGTTATATGGAGGGGCTGTGTGGGGAGAGCGCAGTGGGGAGTGGGGGGGGACTGTGGGATGGGATGGGGAGTGCGCATGGGGGGAGTGAAGGGGGGAATGGGGGGCGTGCAGTCCCTGTGTGGGGGACCGTAGAGGGGAATGGGGGCCGTGGGTGAGACTGTTGGGGGAGTGCATAGGAGCGTGGGGGGAGTGTGGGGCAGCATGTGGGGAGTGCATGGGCGCATTGGGGGAGAGTGGGGCAGCATGTGGGGAGTGCATGGGCGCATGGGGGGAGTGCATGGGCGCATTGGGGGAGAGTGGGGCAGCACGTGGGGAGTGCATGGGCGCATGGGGGGACTGCATGGGCGCATTGGGGGAGAGTGGGGCAGCACGTGGGGAGTGCATGGGCGAATGGGGGGACTGCATGGGCGCGTGGGGGGAGTGCATGGGCGCACGGGGAGAATGAAGGGGCGAATGGGGGGATTGAGCGAGCGTGTGTGGAGAGCGCAAGGGGGAATGCAGGGGAGAGTGCAGGGGAGCATGTTCAGGCAAGTGGTGCATGTCAAACGGCCCATATATGCTCTGGGGAGGGCTGGCAGGCGCAGGCTGCACTAGTGTTTGAACAGGGCAGGTGGGAGCATGCACCACTGCTTGTATGGGGCTGGACGGGGGAGCATGGCGTAAGGCAATTCTGTGAGGGCAGGTGGGCTGCTGCTGCTGCTGCCCCTGCCCCTGCTGCTGCGTCTGCCCTTGCTGCTGCCACTGCTGCTGCCACTGCTGCTGTTGCTGCTGCTGCTGCTGCAGCTGCTGTGGCGACAGGGGGGGCCTCTGCTCCACCCGCTGTGAGGCCAACTTATCCCGAGCAAGGGGGGAAGAAAGAGGAGGAAGAGGAGAACGAGCGGACGGAGAGCGCAAGGGAGGAGACGGAGGAGGGGGCAGGCCGGCACGAGGGCTTCTGGCAGAGGGAGAGCGGATCGCAGTCTGGTTGTGAGGGCTTAAAGCCTCGCTTTTGGGGCTGTACTGGTTGAAGATCTGATTGGGAGATGCACGAGGAGGGCATGCCACTGGGCCCGGCCGCTGGGCCCTGTAACTGCTGCTGCTGCTGCTGCTGCTGCTAGTGCTAGTGTTAGTGCTGCTGCTACCCCTGCTGTTAGCGCTAGTGTTGCTGCTGCTGTTGCTGATGCTGCCAGAGCTCCCGCTGGTAGTGCTGCTGCTGCTTCCGCTGCCGCTGGCGTTAGCAGCTTGAGCATAGGCAGAAGGGAGGGGAGAGGCAGGGCGGCGGGCAGCAGGAGCCTGCAAGGGGCCTGACAAGGCCCGGCGCTTGGGAGGCGCATCCAGCCCCGGCCGAAGCGGGGAGGAGGACGAGAAGGAGGGTGAGGAGAGGGTGGAGGGCCGGGGAATGTGCTCCTCTTGCATCGGATCAACAGGGAGGGTAGAGGCAGGGCGGCGGGCAGCAGAAGGAGCCAGCAAAGGGCCTGAAAGGGCACGTCGAGAGGGAGGCGCAACCAGCCCGGAGTGAATTGGGGAGGAGGGAGAGGCGGAGGAGGAGGTGGATGGTCGCAAAATCTGCTCTTTTTGGCTCTGGTCAGGAGTTTCGGCAGGAGAGGAAGGAGTAGGCCATTGTACGACAGGAGAGCTTGAGACATGTGGAGAGGAAGGGTTTGGCCGTTGCTGCTGCTGTTGCTGCTGTTGCTGCACCTGCCCCTGCTGCTGCTGCATCTGCCCCTGCTGCTGCTGCATCTGCATTTGGTGCTGAAGCTGCCCCTGCTGCTGCTGCTGCATCTGCCCCTGCTGCTGCTGCATCTGCCTTTGCTGCTGCTGCATCTGCCCCTGTTGCTGTATCTGCCCCTGCTGCTGCATCTGCCTCTGCTGCTGCTGCATCTGCACCTGTGTCTGCCCTTGCTCCTGCCCCTGCGGCTGCCACATCAGCCCCTGCTGCTGAATCTGCCCCTGCTGCTGAATCTGCCCCTGCTGCTGCATCTGTCCCTGCTGCTGCTGCATCTGTCCCTGCTGCTGCTGCATCTGTCCCTGCTGCTGCTGCATCTGTCCCTGCTGCTGCTGCATCTGTCCCTGCTGCTGCTGCATCTGTCCCTGCTCCTGCTGCATCTGCCCCTTTTGTTGCATCTGACCCTGCCCCTGGCTTTGCATCTGCCCCTGTGCCTGCCCCTGCCGCTGCCCTTGCTGCTGAATCTGCCCTCGATACTGCATCAGTTCCTGCATCTGCCCCTGTGCCTGCCCCTGCATTTCCCCCATCGGCTCTTGGTCTCTAAATTGCTGCTGCCAACCAGAAGAGGACAGAGAGGACCGTTGGGCGGCAGAGGAGGGTCGCTGGGCGGCAGAGGAGGGTCGCTGGGCGGCAGAGGAGGGTCGCTGGGCGGCAGAGGAGGGTCGCTGGGCGGCAGAGGAGGGTCGCTGGGCGGCAGAAGAAGACTGCTGGGCGGCAGCTGAAGGTCGCTGGGCGGCAGAGGAAGGGCGTTGGTAAGCCGAGGACGACGTACGCTGGAAATTTCCGGGACCAAGGCGGGACGGCACAGCAGGAAAGGACGAGAGGGCATCGGGTGTCTGTATGTGGTTCAGCTGTGTCGGGTCGTCTGTGTGCCGCCGCAGCAGTCGGCGGTTACCCGGAATAGAGTTCGGGTTACCCCGGCCACGCCCACTGCCAGCAGCAGCACCATTAGCAGCAGCAGAGCCACCACCGCCACGACCACTGTTACTCCCGTAACCGGCCCGTCTAGAGGCACCAGGGGCAGCACCAGGGACAGCACCAGGCGCCAGCCCCTCATCATTCTCTTCCTCATTTTCTCCTGATCCTGATAAGAATTGCACTGAAGAGGACGGCGGTGCTGCTGCTGCTGCTGCTGCTGCTCCTGATGCTATTGATGAAGATGATGACGATGGTGTTGCTGATGAGGGTCGGAACTTCTCATAATTCCGGAGAGAGAGAGTAGCAGACGGAGAGCCTGAGGCTCGACCAGCACCACCACCGCTACCCCTACCACCACCCCGACCCCTACCCCTACCCCGGCTGCCCAGCAGGTCACTACTTACCCCAGCTGCTGAGGCGGAAGAGCTAGCAGCCCTGGGCCCTACAGCACCTGTGGTAACACCATCGTCCATTGCTACACTCCCCGTGCCACTCGTCTTCCACTCCTGACCTAGCCCAGCCTCCACACCCCCAGCTAAGCCCCCATCTGAGTCAGCTACACCTCCATCCAGGTCAGCGTCCACGTCGTCCCCCTCCAGCTGCCCCATGAAAGCCCCAGCATTGCCGAGCGATGCCGACCGCATCATAAATCCCGTACCAGCCCTGGCGCCCGCTCTGCTGCCCACCCTGCCGCCCGCTCGTCCCCCTCCTGCTGTTGCTCCTCCCCTTGCTGCGGCTGGCGAGCCCCTGTAAGTGCCAAATCCCTGCCTCTCCCCCCTATTCCCTTCGCCATTCTCATCATCCCCACCAAGCCCACCACCCCCACCACCCCCACCAGCACTAGCACTAGAAAGACCCGTACTAGCACTAGCAGCGGCCAAGCTCTCCTCTCCCCGCCTTTGCCACGACCTATCAGTGAAAGGGTCATGAGACGCACTTCTAGGCACGCCCCTACCACCACCACCTCCTCCTAAACCTCCTCTACGCTGCCCCACCTGTCCTGGCCCCACCCCTACCCCATGCTGCTGCTGTAGCTGCTGCTGCTGCTCCGCCAGTCGTCGCCTGTACTCCTCAAACTTGCTCACATACGCCACGGCAGACGCCCGCGAGCCTGTGCCCGTGGACGGCCGAGATCCGCTGGCTGCCTGCTGCGCGGACAGCTGAGATCCGCCTGCCAGCGCCTGCGGCTGAGCGCCTGTGCTTTGCAGCGCGCTCGTGCTTTGCTGTGCGCTCGTGCTTTGCTGTGCGCTCGTGCTTTGCTGTGCGCTCGTGCTTTGCTGTGCGCTTGTGCTTTGCTGCTGCCAATCCTTCCCTGAGTCGACCACGAGAATCTGAGCGTCAGAACTTGATCCAGTTCCAGTGGCCTGTCCCCTCACATGTTGCTGTGGCTGCTGCAGCGGCTGCTGCTGCTGCTGTAGCTGCACCTGCTGAGTGATCGATGCGGCCTCACTGTCTCCTGCGCCCAGTTGTTCAACCTCAGACACATGAAGGTCTGCATTGACAAACCCCTGAAAACCGCCAGCAGAAAGATCAGCAGCTCCAGGAATGCAGCAGCAGCAGCAGCAGCAGCAACAGTGGTGGAAGGAACAGGGCTGGAGGTGCCACTTGCTCTGAGGTAGCCATCCATGCTGATCTGACTCAGTGAATACGCCCTTGGCCTCTCTGTACCGGACCCAAACCGTATTGACTGCATTGACCGCGTTGACTGGCTCTTGAAACCATCTGCACCTCCTTCTGACCCCTGAGGCGCCTCAAAAGTTGCCCTTGGCCTCTCTGACCAGGATCCAAACCGTATTGACTGCATTGACCGTGTTGACTGGCTCTTGACCCCGTCCGCGCCTCCTCCCGAACCCAACCTCCCTCCCCCGCCCCACTGCCCAGCGTCGTAATTCGCCCCATTGAAACTTTCCCCACCAGAACTCACCCCACCGTAATTCACCCCATTGAAACTATTCCCAGCTACACCTGCCTCAGATCCCACCGGATCAGGTACCACCTCCCCCTCCAGCGGCTCCCCATCATCCTCCTCCAGGTCCGCCTGCCATGCCCTGTGCCTTCGCCCGCTCTCTGACGCCATCCGCGGAAGCCTAAACCTCGCTACAGCGGACCTCGATAAAGGCAACGGAGGCGCTGCCTTCGGTCCCGCGGAACTTGCGCCCTTTCCGCCTGAGCCCCCCAGCCCTCCCCCGGTGGGCCCCAACCCTCCGCCTGAACCACCCAGCCCTCCGCCATAGGGGGAGGCGGAGGAGGAAGGGGCGGTCGCGGAAGCAGCAGGACCAGCGTAAGGACCCGCGCAGGGGCTAGCATAGGGGCTGGCGGAGGGGCTGGCGGAAGGGCTGGCGGAAGAGATGGCGGAAAAAGCTGCGCCACTGGCGGAAAAGCTCCGCTGGCGCGAATATGAAGGTCCCTGGGGATTTCGGTTCGGAGTCTGGTTCAGTGGCAGAAAAACAATCCCCCCTGAACTTGCGCTTCTCCCATCTGAATCCCCGCTTCCCCTTCCGCCAGCCCCGTGGTTCCTCCACGCGGCTCTCCGCTGACTTCCCCCACTGGCTTCTCCCAATTCCCTCCCGCTGTCCGCAGCGTTTACCCCCCCGCCACCCGCAGCGCTTCCCCCTGCAGCACCCACGGAGCCCCCAAACATCTGATGCAGCGCGTCTGACGCGGAACGCGCCAGGCCCCAGTGCGATCCGACGCCAGCGGAACGGCTACCGGCGCTCCCGCGCGAGAGCCCCGCGTGGGAAGCATCGGCGGGAGCTGCAAGGCTTGCCGCTGCGGAGAAATCTCTATCTGCGGGGACTTCTAGCCTAGTAAAGAACGAATTTTGCGCCGTCTGCGCTGCTGCGCCGGCAGCCTCTCCTCCGCGCACCTGCTGCGCGCCTCCGCGCGCCTCTCCGCCTTCCCCGCCGCCGGTCGGCTTGAATGAATGCGCGGGTTTCGGGTCATGCGCGAGCGAGCGCACGAAGGTCTGGAAATCCATGGCGGAAAGTGACGTGGCGCGTTGGACCTTGTTCCACACGCGCTGCCGCACGCTGCCGGAGCGCTGGCGACTTGGATGGGACGATTTGAGGAAATGAACGGCACATCCGGCGGGCATCGTGGGAGACTGAAGCGAGTTATCGTACCCGTCGTCCCCGTTAGTAACTGCTCCGCCATGGTTTTGTTGGTGCTGCTGGTAGGATTGGTCATTGTTCTGTAGGTATAGTGGAGCGGAATGGAAATCCGGGTTATTAGGGTTGTCGTTGTCCGCGCGTGGCGACTCCACCCATAATTCGTCCATAACTTGTAGGATCACAGGGAGGATGATCAATTCCTCACCATTCGCATCGCCAATACCTAGGATCGCATCGTTCGTGATTGTCGAACGGCTTTGGATGGCATTTTCATTAGTCCATTGTAATTATCAACCTCTACCTAAGGAATGATCCAAGCTCTCCAAGCTTTCCCACAAGTGGTGGTGGTGAGTCTTATGTCCTGCTGTTCCTAGGCGACCGGGACCAACCAAAGCACCATCACACCACCACTTCTCCCCTCGAACCCAACCAAGCGACAGCCACTACGGAGTTTCCTAGGCTGTTGGGGATGAATCAGGGCTGGAATGCGGTCGCGACTTACAACATATGAAACGTGCCCAAGATTGCTCGGTCCAGTACGATCTCAAAAGTATATCGAGCGGTACAGAACAATTTCCAGTTCATCAACATTGCACACCATCATCACTGCGTCGGGACTCGAGACTCGAGACTTGAAATCGTACAGGTCCGTTACCAGAAAGTCGGTTTCCAGGAAGAATGTGCTGAGACAGGGCAAGTCTCTGCCCGGAAATCTTCTCTAACCATTCTTAACCAACGTCTAATGACATCAAAACCGCACATAAACTGAATTTGAAAATATTGAAACCTGTTTTCCGTGGACAGTTTTTTGTATCCATCCAGCCAGTCTGGAGTCTCCACCGTTTTTGAGAGAGCAGTTCCGCACGTGTGACACTAGGGAACTTCTGTTCTATTATATGTAATGTCGTATAACGAATCCCTACATTGCAACAAATTCTCGTTTATAACCGAGTGGTCTATTGTAAACGCGGATACTACTCTTCAAATTCACCTAACCAGAATGATGCATTCCATTTTCACCTAACCTTTTTCTGTAGAATCATTAGCACAATGGCGGCTCCTGCTGTTTCTCTGGGCGCCCATTCATCCACGCAAGCAGCTTTCGTAACGCGCGTCGCCGCGTGCCAATCGCGAGCCACAAGCAGCCAGCAACATTTTCCATCTCCTCCCCGCGCATCTTCTTTCACACGCGCGACGACGTTCCCAGCTCGTACGCACACGTGTGCTTCTCGCTCCCTGCGATCGCGGCGACTAGCAGGCTCGCCGAACGGACGCCGAGCAGCAGAGGCTGCAGGCGCCACTATTATCGCGTCTGCTTCTGTCGGGGACGTGAACGAGGCGATTAAAGACGCGGCTAAGGCGGGCGACGCGGCTGCAGTGAAGCAGCTATTGGCAGGAGGAGGTGTCGACATTAATCTGCCTAGCCCCGAACGATCCGGCTGGACAGGTAACCCTATTTATCAAAGATAATGCTATTTATTTGCACAGGACAGCAACAGTTGCGTACAGGCTAGTAACATTTGAGTACAGGCTGCAGGTAACACGCAAGTACAGGCCAGCAAGGACGCGAGTGCGGGCTGGTAGCACGAGAGCACAACTGATAACACGAGAGCACAGCTGGTAACACGAGAGCACAGCTGGTAACACGAGAGCACAGCTGGTAACGCGAGAGCACAGCTGGTAACACGAGAGCACAGCTGGTAACGCGAGAGCACAGCTGGTAACACGAGAGCACATCTGGTAACACCAGGGTACAGGCTGAGAGTACAGGCGTGTAATCATTACAAAGCATGAGCTTCAACAGGTATGGGAGTGCATCATTCGACAATCGAGCACGTTTTTCTATCTGTCACACAAAAACTTCCATCATATATCATTCTTTTATGGCGAATCATTCTGTATGGATCGTATCATTTTCCATGGCAATTTACACCTCCCCCCACCAAACCGCAGCGCTGCACCTGGCGGCTTTCTACGAGCACCCAGAGGTCGTCCAGTCGAGGTGCTTCTTTCTAGTTTTGAGTTGGCGCAAACCCCCTCCCCCCACTTCCCCTTCTCTCCCTCCCCCTCCCCTGCAGCATTGCACCTGGCGGCGTTCTACAAGCACCCAGAGGTTGTCCAGGTGCTTCTGGCTACTTTTCAGTCGACTCGAATTTCCCCTCCCTCCCCGCACACCCCCTCTCCGCCCCTCCTCCTTCCCCACTACCCTGTAGCGTTGCACCTGGCGGCTTTCTACGAGCACCCAGAGGTCGTCCAGGTGCTTCTGGCTGCCGGAGCTGACACCGAGGCTCGGAATAACACCGGGAATACTCCGCTGCAGGTTTGGGAGACCCGCAGATAGATAATCTTGGGGTCTGATAGAACATTTCCTGACTTTTATTCTGTCGACGTGGCATCCCTGTACTCAATCTATCAGCCTTCTTGCTCCCTGCGGTTTCGTTCTATCGGGTTTCGTTCTATCGTGTTTCTTTCTATCGTGTTTCGTTCTATCGTGTTTCGTTCTATCGTGCAATTGCTGTCCGTTCTTCCTTGATCTACCTTGCCATCATGAGGACCCCTCGTTGGTCATGCCATCACTCTCCTCTCCTCCAGGCCCCAGCTATCTGTACTGTGCCTAAGAATCAGCCACCCACCAAATCCGAGTCGCTTTTGAGAATGCTCAAAAGAAGCTGTCTGTACAGCGCCTGGAAATCAACCACCCACCCACCACCAATGCAGGTGCTTATACGTTGCTTGAATGTTTTTTTAGTCTACTGAGATCAATTTTTTCTTCTGCCCTTCCCTCTCTTCAGTTTGCATGCCTGAAGGGCAACTTGGATGTTGCTCGCATGCTATTGGACGCCGGGGCTGACCTGTACGCCACCAGCGATGACAAGGGAAATGCTCTCGAATATGCTCAAGGTGCGCAAGCAAGGTGGCTTTTGAGGTGGCTTTGAGGTGGCTTTTGAGGTGAAGGGTGTTTTTGAGAATTAAGCCACCAGCATCAGCAGTGATGGCAAGGGAAACGCTCTCGAGTATGGTCAAGGTGCGCACGCGAGGTGTCACTGAAATGGCATGGGAATGGCATTGAGGTGGCATTGAGGCAGCAGTGAGGTGGCATTGAGGTGGCATTGAGGTGGCATTGAAGTGGCATTGAGGTGGCATTGAAGTGGCATTGAAGTGGCATTGAAGTGGCATTGAAGTGGCATCAAGATACCCTGGAGAAGCAAGGTGAGTATGGAGTGTTGTATGATCTTGAAATGGGTTGATTCGCAATGTAATGCTGAGTTTGGGTTTGGATGTGTCAGTTGTGACATGGGGACGTTGTGCATGCTGGGAGTGGAAGTTACTCTGATTCTGGACTCGAAGGTTGTGTTGATGTGATTCAGAAGCAAGATGTGATGGTTCCATGGGCGAAATGTTGGAAAGAGGTTTGTGTTGAAGTATGCACTGATTGCAAATCAGGTGCAAGTAATATAGACGAACCTGGATGCATTTATATGCTGGATTTGTCCCTTCCATCACGTAATTTTTCACAACATGGGTTGTGGTCCTTTTCTCATTCATGCTGTTGCTTTCTGTTTGTGCTTGCAGAGTGGGGAACTGAAGAAATGGTGGACTTCCTCCTGGTTCGTGCTGCAACAGAGAGCAGTAAATAAAAACAGGCTCCTTATGCCAGCTGGTGGCATGTCATCTTGTGCTCACATGCTAAACAGGGTCACGCTTATACTCTCAAACTTTCAAGAAAGTTTCTCCGAGCATTGAGGATTGAGAGTTTGTGAAGAGAGGCGGAAGAAACTAATATTATTCGAGCTTCAGGGTGATTTCGGTACAACGACAGTTGCAGCACAAGGTCTGTTCTCACACCAGCCAGGCATTGCTGTATGTGTATGTAGTGTGCTTTGCTTTCCTGAGAATGTTTACAGCTGCTTGACTACCAGCACGAGGCATAAGTGTGGTGATGCTCCAGAGCCCCAACATCCCCTCCTGCCTCTCTGGCCTTAGCAATCCGCTTCCCCTTCACAAATTTGCCTAGTAAGATTACTCAATTGCCTTGTGCAACAACAAAAAGTTGCTGAGAAAGAAAACATTGCATTAGAAACTGAGCTGGTCCCTTCGACGCTCGGATGTACTATGAACAGTTAAACAAATGTTACAGAATTTGGCTCGCGGAGCAATGCCATCGCTCCAACGGCGTCCAACGAGATGGCATCTCGGGAGGTATGTTAGTAGGAGGTTAGTGGATCAGTGCAGGAAATTTATATCTCTTCACCCGCTCAACTCAACGGGAGAAGCCATCCATGTCGTCTGGCATGGTGGAGCCTGCATGAAACAGCATAAGGCGCGGTTAGGAGCCATATCATCACGAAGCAACAATGAACTTCCGAAACAGACCGACGACAGGTAGAATGTAACATAAGTTGCTAAATCACAACAGCAGGCCCGCGAGATACGTCAGATATAGGAAACTGGTGGATGAGGAACGGCCACTCACTGTGTATCCGCTGGAGTGCAGCCGCTGTTACTACAATCGCGGCACACCATGACGAGAATGTGAGAGCCCCAGCGACAGCTACACATTTGACGAGGACGACGCCAGGAACGAAACTTCCTAGCACTGCGGCACCGACGTCCCAAATCTGTCCGGCCTCGAACAACGAATTACGCTTCGACTCGAATTGGCACGCCGCACCGTGGTAAAACTCCTGAAGCTCCATGGCAGACGGATCCATGGCTGCAGGGGAACAGCTCAAACTCAAGCGGAGTTTGCAGGAAGGACGGTCAGCATTCAAATCTTCGTTAGCTACTGGAGCCTGAAGCCACTTCTTGGCGGGGGAACGCATACAAATTCTAGCGATGTCTAAATTCTCAGTTTCACGCTAATCCA